AAGCTAGACTGTAAAAAGAGTAATATCAAGTTTCCTTTCTCTCGACCGTCTGTCAACCCCGAAATTAACTCTGTTTTCCTTCTGATCTTTGAAGGACAAATCGCTTCTTGCCGTTTTTTTCGGTTTCTTCGCTCTTTTGGCAATCCACTTGGATAGGAGGGGGGTTTCGAGTCAAGTGGAAGGCGTCCTTCCGCCGTTCTGAACGCTTATTTGCATTCCCATGCCGCCGACGCCCATGCATCATCCACTTCATTTACTCACCCGAAACCCCATCCTTCTTCTTTTTTTCCTCCTTCTTTGTTATTTATTTGTTTGTTTGTTATCCTTCCTTCCTTCCTGCTTGGCTTCTTGACCTGGTTCCGGTCGGGTGCAAACGGTTACATGTATGATTGTTTTAATCCGATCATTGAGATATCAAAAAAAAAAGGTCTGGAATTTCTTTCTAGGAGGCCGATAAGTTACTCTGATAAGCTCTTTTTTCAGTCTTCTCAGTTACTTCTGGTCTATGAATTTCTGAAAAAGCCTTCTTTCAACTTTTTTTCCATTCTTGAAAGGATTTTCGAACAGTGTGCTTCTAAAAAGCGTTAGAAAGGCCTTGAAGACATTTTTTCTTTATTATTATTTGTTTTGCTCTATATCTTCACCACCTGCTTATGGGGTTGTTTTTATGTTTCGTAGCATTATTTTGTTCTTCATTGACTTTGGAAGGAAAGTACTGTTGACTTTGGTGTTCACATTTAAATTGTAACTTCCATCTGATCTGACCATACTCCGCTTTTCGCTAAGATCAAGAAAAATAACTTTTTTCTATTCGTCGAAATTTTGGCATCGTAAGAGCTTAAAACATCAATATCTAAACACGTCCATTCTTTAGTGATATCCTAGTAGAGCTTCAACTATTTATCTACTGATGATTGATTCCGAAAAAACTTTTTCATTGCATTTTTTGACCAGATAAAAATGGAATATCAATATTATGAACTAATTGGAGTTAGTTATCAATTTACAGTGTGATGCCTTCAGTTGTGATCAATTAATGAGAACCTTTTTGTGATTTCCTTGTGAGACTCTATTTTTAAGTTCAAAAAGATTGAATAAAAACGTGGATCTTGGAACTCATCCAGAATTTCTTTTTGAAAAAATCAAACTTTTTCTTTATTTAGCAAGTTTTTTTCTTTGACTGTTTTTTTGTTGAAATCATCTCATTTTTCTGTAGAAAACTCTGTTAACATGCACCAAAAATAATTCATGAGAACCTTGATTTTTTTGATGTCTTCATTTTTTTCTGTCTTTTTCTTGTTTCATATGGAAATATCATTTTTCAAATGTTTTTCTATAAAATCTCGAAACGCGGATTTCAACTTAAATTTTCATAATCTACAACTTTCGTTAAGGAAATCTCCGTAACTTCTTCTGAGTTGGTTAATTTGAAAAATTGCTTCTAACGGTTTCTATAAAATTTTGACTTCCTTTGTTTTGCTCATTGTTGCTCATATTTCAGCCAAAAAAATGTAATTTTCTTACACATTAACTCCGAAGAACATTTTTCATCAGACAATACCTATTCCATGTTTTATTTCCTACCGAAAAAGTCGGCCGATTCAATCCAATTTGCAATCCATTCGAGACCCATTTTGATCGCTTTTAATTGGTCTGAGAACGCGGCGCGAGCGTTTGAGGATTCCAAAAAAAACCGTTGTTCGTGTGGTAAGGTCGATTCGACTATGAGTTTCACTGCACTTTTTTGAGTTTTCATTTGGATTAGCTAGTTTTGGGAGTTTGAAGTGAGATTTTTCAATTTTTTTTTCAAAATTATCTATGAATATATCTTATATCTACCTTTTTTGCAGTTTCATCCTTTGAATTTCTTTTCTTTATTTTGAGGTATTTTTCAAATATTGTTTTTTTTTTTCTCTCGATTCAATATTCTAACGAGTTTGGAGATTTGTATTTGAGATGTTCTTTTTAAGGATTGAAGGGTCTTGCAAGCATTATCTTTTTTTATTCTTATTTTTTTGCAACCCTCTTATCAAAATACCTGTCTTTTTTTCCTTAGTATCCCCAACTTGTGAAGCCCCATTGTCCTTTGTTCTAATAGGCTAAACGACGAGGATCGCCGTGTCCGGTTACACGGACAGGTCATCTCTGTTTGTGTATCATTTTGCCCCACATATATTTGGTGGCTCCTCCTCCTTGGCTTGCATTTATTTTGAATAATTAATTAATTTTCGTCTCAACCCGTGTTTGGTGTTGTATTCACGAGACGAGCACCTGCTTGATTCGATGTTGATTTTTTCAAAACTTTTCTCTCTTGAAAAGTTTTTAGTTAGATCTCATTTGTCTTATCGGAATCTCTTCCTGTCATTCATTCCGAATCCTTGCATGAAGATAAACTGATCTTTTGAACTATTTAACAAGTCAATATTATTATTTCGGGCCGTTATTAAAAAAATTATATTTTTTTCCTGTTCTCTGTAAGAATTGATAGTGGGATCAACCTAATTATTTTTTTATATAATTCATTTTTTTCATATCAGTTTTTTTCGATTATTTTTTTGTCTCTCAACCTTGGTTGCGTACATTCTGAATCCTGAGCTAACATGAGCAACAAATCTATTGACCTTTGAGCATATTTATTGAGTTTAACTTTATAAGACTTGTGATTTGATTTTTTTTTAAACTTTTTACCATTTTTTATTCATTTTTCCTAACTTGAGCCAAAAAATCTCCAGGTCTTCTAAATGGAGTCAATTTTTCTTCTCATCACTCGGAAGATTCCTGAAATTTGCAGCCTAATTCTCGCGCACAATGTTATAAATTACACCAAAGTGATTGGTCATTTGTTTGGCTGTTCACAGAGGGCAAATCTAATCCATATTACACCTCCTACCAACAAATATTTCGGAGGAGGCGGAACATGTGTATTGAATGAATATATATCTGATTGCAGCATCTTTGTCCTCGTTTTGCACCTCAAATTCCTCATTTTCAGACCGATTTCGGGTCTTTTCCGGAATTCACGAGGTTCTCATTTGTTTCTGGAAATTTATGGACTTTCAATCTTCAATAGAACGTTTTTCTGAATTTTGAAATTTCGAAATTCAACTCGTTTTTTAAGTTTTCTTGTTACTCTTCCTTTAAAAAACGATTTGATAAACGAAGTTTTTCGAAAAACGAGAGGCTTCTAACATGAGCAATAAGATGAGAACACAACTTTTCTTTGCGAAATTTGTTTCGTTTTCAATTTTTCAATTGGTTTTCACCTTTTTGCACTTAATGAACTTCGATCTTTTATTAGGCTAACATGAGCAATATAGTAGAAATGTTTCCCTCATTGAAAAATTGTTCCATTGCGTGCCTCGTAGTATTACTCTAGCGTAGAATATTTGATGATTTTTGGTCACTTTTCAGAATTTTTCCTTGAGCACATTTTTTCATTTTTTATAATCAAATGACTCTTATTTGAGCTTTAAATTTAGTTCATACAAACTATGAAATTCTCCTACTGAAGCTTAACTGCTTTTTGACCGGGCAAATAATATGTAACTGTGGAAATTCTTTTTTTTGCTGATTGTGAATATTTTTCCGATACCCTTTTATAGTAAATAAACAGACTCTCTATTGTCTATGAGAATATGGCGGTTGACTTTAAGTGAAAAATTTTTTTTCGAACTTTATGAATTTTGGCCTTTTTTTAAGTTTTTCATGTACATGTACACCCTTAAATCTTGCCCTCGATCCATTTTTGCTTTTTGAAACCGCAGTTTCTTTAAAAGCCCAATTGAGGCGCCTGATGGCTCACACGTCATCTACAACCTTCAAAAAACGTCTCTAGTCCTTTATTTAAATACAACCACGCTCCTTCAAATATTTTAAGAAAATTTTTAGGACAGAATTTCAACAAAAATGATGTGCCTTCTCACTTTCTCATTCCAATCAAATGGGCGTTTCAATGTTGCCCATCTCATTTTCATTTCATTTCATTTTCATCCGATTCCCATTCACTGAGGCAAAAGAAAAGAACAGGTAGAAAGACGTATGTTTTGCCGTCCAAAATAGGCCCTTTCCAAAGGCAATCCTAACGGCTTTTTCTCAAAGGAACCAATCTTTTTCAGTCAAGGTTAAATGCAAATTTTTGTTTCGTTCCCGCACTTTTTGTTGGTTCTTTTTTGTTCTGGCACCGTATTGGAGAAAGTTAACGGTTTGGGGGTTTTCGAGTTGAAAATTTTTCTTTTATTCATAGATTTTTTTAATTGAAGGGAAGTTCATTATTACTTCCTATTTTAATCTTCTTGTTTGACTTTTTTTATCTTTCCTCCAACACTGTTTTTTTTTTTCTGACCGCCTTTCTCTTGATTAATGATAGTTTTGATGAAATTTCAATAAAATTTTTTGATCCGAAAAATAAAGGCTTCTCATCATTATAGAATACTACTGAAAGCTCGAAAAATAGCTCATATTGAGACTTTAAGCTCTCATTTTTTCGAAAACTGAGAAATCTTTTAGTTTGAGACTTCCAGGATGTTCACCATCAAAGAATTTTCTGTCCAATTTTCACAATATTCCCAACCACAATGCAGAATGACCTTTCTTGTGAGAGTTTCCTAAAAGAAATGATTTTTTTCGATTCATTATCACTTTTTTTTCCTTTCATCTCTTCACTCATTTCTCATCAAAAATGAAACTGAAAGGTAATGGAATCGGCCCGATTCCCCACGCCAACAGTAATTGCCTTACAATTTGCTTGAAAGATAGGTGAAATTGAATGGAAAATTTGTGATGAGATGGCTTCTTCCAATCTCCCTTTCAACCGGTAATTTCCGACGCTCTGACGATCATCTCTGTGGATTTCGTGTTGTAATATTTGATCGAAAAGAAGGCATATAACTTCGATTTTAGTTTGAAAAAAACTCTTTTATCGCAATTTATACCGAATTTCGTTCATTTTCATCTGAAAAAAACATTGAAATTGTTGACTTACAGATGCGAAACGTCGGATAATGAACGAAGACGATTTTTGGGAGCTTCCGCTGGCACAATGGCTCAGGTAATTTTTCGAAAACTGAAATTAAAAGTTCAAAAACGCACCTAATTGATGCAAAATCTTTTTTATTCAATCATGATTGGTTCATTTGTCGTAGACACGTAAACGTTTCTTCGCGTGGGTTTAACTTTTTGACAAAAATCAACTTTTTGCTAGTTTTTTTTTCTCAACTTTGTAAGTTTTTAAGAAATTTTAGTATCGGACTAGTTATTTTGGCAAATTCGCAAGAGAAAATCAAAGAAAAAGGTAAAAAATTGAAAAATAAACTCTCAGTGAGATTACGGTAAGTGAAATAGTCGCAGACACAAGCACGCAACCGTTGCTTGGCGTGGAATTAATTTTTTTTTTCCTCAAATTTTTTCTTCTTTTTTTTCTTGCTCTTCCTTTTAATGATTTTTTCAATGCATTTTCTTAGTTTATTGAAGATTTTGAAGCATTGCATGACTTGAAATAATCCTCGAGACAGCTCTCAGCATTCCTCATTGAGTAGTTTGATAGACTGAACGTTTTTCTAATTTTCGTAGTTTTGTCAATCAGGTTAAAGAAATAGGATTTTTTTAATTTTATTTGCAGCTAGTTTGATTTTTTTACTGTTATTTTTAAAAAAACTCGGGAAGTTTTCTCATAGTCCAATAAAATCCATCGTTTACTCCTGTCTTACGAAATTAAAAATTTTTTTTTCGATTTAAAGCGTGTTTTGTGGAATTCAACTTTTTTTTAACTACTGTGATTTTTGAATATATTTTTTTCATGATTTTCATCTTTTCTTTTTCCAGAGATTGTGCCAGCGGTGCGCCGCCCTTGTTCGAAGAATCGCAATGGCGGCTGGCGACGCGGAAAACGTTGCCGCTTCAGTACAGAGAGCTCACCGACGGAGTTCTTCTCGCCGTTTTGTTCCAAACTATGTTGGTTTCTTTTTTTTAAGCTAGAAATTTTTTGTTATTCTAGGAATTTTTCTCCCCATTTCACGGTGAGTATCAGAGAGAGTATCGATTCTAGACAAAAATGTTTCCTTCGCAATTTTTAAGTCCAAAACTGTTCATGATTTTTCGATGAAAAATAAAGCTTAACCTCTATAAGAAAATTTTATGGGTTTATCAACCTTTAAGTGAATTTGCATAGTTTTGGAAAATCAAGTTTCTCCTTTACTTTTTTTTTTCAATTTTTTTGATCCACTGAGAACATAAAAATAAGCCGCTCAAGTGAAAGCCGGCCGCCGTGATTCTACTTTTACGAGAACGCCTCGGCCCATAAATGTTCGGTGAAATTTGTTTGTACATATAATGCTTCCTGTGTACATGTGCCATCGCGCGTCTATTAGTCATCTGTTTCGTTTTTTTGTACCTTTTTTTCAAAAATTTTTTATGCTTTGTGGAAAAATTATTTGAAAGATATTCAGAGAAATCTTAATTTTTAATTTTTGTCCTGGTTCACTGTGATCAGATTCAGACGCTTGCGCTCACAGCTTTGAAAAATTTTGAAAAATAGCCGAAAGATTACAAGTTTTTCGAAAAATGGCTATTTTTAAGGAAGACTAAGACTTCGACGATCCTTCTGAGTTATATTAAAGAATTTGTAAGCCGATTCCCGAATAGGTCTGATCACCTAAGTAAAACGACTCTCTTGTCAGAGCCTCTTTCAAAATCCACCAAAAGTCCACTCGAAACCATGACCGAAGCCATTAGCAACGACGAAATATCATCAAGAATAGAAAAGATGATACCCCATGGGCGTGCTCGAAAATGAAATGTGGGCTCGTTAGGCTCTCCGACACATCTGCTCTTCTTCTACTTGTTGAAAGGCCTGAGCCGCCGTCCCATCGGCTCTAAATCAATCAGATCCCCGCAAGCCGTTCGATTTCTGATTCATTGCAAAGTTTCCAGTTTTTATGGGTTTTTTGTAATTTTCTCAACCCAATGTTCACAAAAATTCATTTTCAATCCTCAACTTTTTTAAAATAGAAAATCAATTGACTCGAATAAGCTCCAATTGAACCTTTATGAACTAAAAAAAAAATCAGATTTACTTGTTTTAGCCCATTTAAAGACTTTTCATGAAATTTTAGAACCAGGATAAAATCTCCATTTTATTACAGCTCTCACTTTACCGTTTGAGCTTCTACATGCTCAATCCATTGTTTTTTTTTCCAATTGTTTCTTTTTTTTTAGTGATCCGTCGATCAACATCTTCTTGGTGAACGACCGGACATCGTATTGCGATTCTGCGCTCCGGCAGAAGCAATTGAAGAGCCTTTTCCACGCCATCAACACTTTTTATAAGGTTATCTTTGAAAAATCTCTGAAAACTTTGAAATTTATCAAAAGCTTTCTAGTAATAAAACTTTTGTTGCTCTTCTCAAAAATGTCCTCAAACCCAAGTTCCTTCACCTTGAACGGGCCACTTTTGAATAGGTCCAATTTTTCACGTACATGTTCTTTTCAGGTTTTTTTTTCCAGTTTCGAAGGTCAGTATAGTTTTCAAATGAGAGCAGGACAGCTACAATCAGAGCCATTTAGACAACAATTTTTTTTTATAATTAGCACTCAATCCTAATTCATTTGGTCTCGCTCCCACAAGTGATCCCACCCCTTGGGGTTAAAAATACAGTTCAATTCTCTGAACTGACTTTTTACCTAAATTTAAAGTTTGTAGTTTATAGTTTTATTCAGACTTCAGAGAAGATTCTCTACTGAATCATGGAATAAATGAAGAGTTGATTGTCGGTTTTCCGGACTGCGTTGACCAAGAATGACTAGCAGATCATCTTGCCCTTTTTCGGGTAGTAACGTTAGGAAGTTGGACGTTCCGATGATCACTGCTTCTCCATATAGAAACAGTACGGCGCCCAGCTTGTCCGGGGCTGGGGGGCGTCGGCATGAATCTTTCTGGGTGACTTTGAAGTCTCCATTTCCAAAGCTATGAATTTCTTCTAATTTTCAGTTTTGAATAAGATTTCTCTGTAAGCCCGATACGCGTAAGAAGCAAAAAAATGTTTTCGAAATTTTTAGAAAATCTGGTAGCTCCGAAATATTTTCATCCAAATTTTTCATGAAAACGTGCCTTCTCTGCTTAAATTCATGACATTTGTAAAAATATTAGCGTTTTTTTAAGCATACAATTTTGAGGCACGACTCCAACAACTGGTTGTCATAGCATCTCCTGACATCACGGCGATCGCTCGGAGTAATTCTCCTGGTCAGTTTTTTTTTTCTTAAAGCTCATGTTTTTTTTGTTTTTTTCTCTTCTACTGTTTTTTATTCTTTCTATCACCCCTGATTTTTAAGAACGAATTCCTATGTCTCAGCACCCTTCAAAAGGAACTATGGAACGTTTTTATAGTGCAAACATTTCGGGGCCATATACAAAAACGATAAACCCAAATATGGGCCGAATTTTCAGTTGCATTCTTGACTGTAGGAAATGTTACAATTTTTGGGTATTCGAGAAGTTTTGTAGGATTTTTAGGAGCTCTGAGAATAGCTTGAAGGAATTTTAAAAAGTTCTGAAACTTACTGCGTTGATCGGAGCTATTTTTATAAGCATAGAGGGACTTTCAAAGAGCTACAATACTAAATTTATGAAAAAAAGCAATGAAAAAAATTTTTATTTATGACATATCAACCGGTAATGAAAATCAGCTGCAAATCGACCAGCTGCTGATTCAAACTTGATATTTTAAGAAGGATTATTCCAGCTGAGCCGGTTAGTTATTGCATGGCAAAAGTGACCTCTCGGTCTTAATATCGGCCGAATTGCGCAACTTTTTTTGCCGACTCGCGCGCGATAATCTGCTCCTAAAAGGTTGACTCGACTTACCTTCGTGTAGAACTCCACTATCTACCTGCTAATAGCTCGTTTTGGATCCTTTTTGCTCATTTTTAATGCGAATATGTGCTCAAATTGATTTTATTCCGTTGAAGACTTGACTATTTAGAACATTTTGGAGATATTTTATTCTTCACTTCATTTTTTAAAACATTCTACTATTTTGAAAAAAGAAAAAATAACATCCAGCTTCTTTTCTTTAAAACTTGTTCTCCTTTATTTGAATCAATTTGAGATTTTTTTTTTTCGAAAACTGCCCCTTTAGGCTTCTTTTTTTCTGTTCATTTTTGATCAAGCTTCATTTTTAAAAAATCTCAATTTTTTCTAAATTTTTTTTTATGAATCCCACTACTTTTTTAGTGTACAAATTAATTTTTGTGTCGCATAAAAATAGAGCCTTTTTCAGACTTTTTTTATTGGATTTATTTAAAAAAGACTGATAGTAATATTTTTCTTCCTAAACCTTTTTTTCAAAGTCAAAAAAAGGAAGGATGAATGTCTCAAGAAAAGAATGCCATTGTAAGTGTTGCTGGACAAGGAGAGAAATTCAAATGGAATAATAGGAAGTCATGACTCATTGATCGTTCTGTACAACTAGACACAGTCACGGCCCATTTTTCGAGGCCCATTTGGTCAGCTGTTTTTTCCTACTTTTTCAGTAGTCAAGACAGTTGAATTGATACTTTCAGAAGTTTTGATTCGAAAGAAAAATTAAAAATCAAAACCAAGTCTCTCTGAAAACATTTTTTTATATATTATAATATTCTCGAATTCATTCACGATGTTATTTTGTCACTCTAGAGAACCCTACGAAAAAAATTTAAAAAGGGGTTAAAAGAAGGAAAGTTTTGCGCGGGTAGCGGCTATGAAGGATCTTGCGTAAACCTTCAGAAAGTTTTCGAGCAAACAAGAAATTTCCGTGTTTTACAATAAAATGATCTTAAATTCTGGGTGAAACTACCTTTCTTGTATAGAAGGATGTATAGGGAACGTTTGTGAAACTTTTCTGAAGTGCAATTTATGTCCTTTGGAGTCCAGAAGAACAAAAAAATGTCTCTCAATAGATCCTTTTTTCGAGTTATGAAGCCTCAAAGTCTGTAAAATACGTTAATTATGGCAAAAAAAAGCGCTATTTTGGACTCTTGAAGCTTCATATATCGAAAAAACGTTCTAGTGAGAATTTTACAAAGAAGCCGAATTATTCGTTGACCTCTGCGTCGAACCTTTTGCCATGCTGTTTCCGCTGTCTAAAAGGTGCGCCTCAACGATTTTCGGAGGTTGTGTATCTTCCTATGTACATATTCTGTTGTGACCCACGCGTATTGGCGGTTATTACCACGCCTCTGCGAGAGAGAGAAGAACACCTTTTTGCGGCCCTTTTCGACACCAATCTCTGGAGGTCACCCGTGTACACAACTGTCCTTCGATCATATTTATGTCCTTTTTTGAAAAGCTTTTTTTCCGTGTTTTGAACGAATTCTGTGGTGAACTTGCTAAAAAAAAGGCAATTTTTGATGTAAATTTTGAAATTCTAGCAGTTAGCTTAATTTGAAAGATAATCTTCATAAAATCGTTTTTATCATGTCTTTCTCGTTCATTTTTCCTACCTTTGAAGCGCTCTTTCTAATTTTTTGTTTCCAAGTTCTCTCGATTCCAATGCCTCGCTTGACCGTCAAATGAGGCCGATTTTGAATTCCCATCCTCGTAAAAGTCTTTTTTTTTGTCGTCCTAATTTAAATTTTTCCCATCGAAACTGTAATGAATCGTCTCCGTTGAACGACGGTGCGAATTTGATTGGTATCGAGGCATTTTTTCGGCGCCGCTGTTGGAATTTTTATGAGCTTTTTGGGAGAAAAAATATTTTAATTTTTTTGGAAACGCGGATGCTTGGTCTATTCAAGCCAACGGAAGTTGAAATGAAAAAAAAAACGAATAATTAAAAAAAGGATAGCGACAAGTTACTTCAAAAGCTTGGTAGCCTTATCAAATAATCATGATGCTCCAGCGCGCAAGTCGTTTCAAGTCAGGTGCGGTTTCACGCGTCGAGCTATGCTACATGTGACCATAACTTTTCAAGAAAGGTCCAAATCTTTCTAGCGAAGTTTTCTCTTAGTCCATTTTACGAGAAGCTTAAAAGAGGCATTTTTCATTACTTTCTGACTTTTTAAAAACCGAATTATATTCCCTTAAGCTACGCTCCTTTTATAAGATTTATATTCAAATTTTTAAAAAAACCATGAGGAATTTCCCACTGGTCTCTCTTCTCCCGGAGACAATTAGTCGTCGTTGTTAGCCGCTGCGGGCCTCCCTTAGCCAATATACGATGTGACTTGCGTTCCATCCAACTCATGATCAGACGTAATAAACACGTCTTCATCTGCCTCTTCCATCCATTGTTTGGATTTTAGTTTGGGTTTGTACTGTTGGATTTTCCGTGGAGTTTATGCAAAGTTTTCGGAATTTTCAGAAGCGCTAAAAGGTCCGACATTAGTCCGAGAGGCTTTGAAAATTTTCTGATTTTCCGGAATTTTTTTCGACTTTTATATACATATTTTCGTGTTAGGTCTGCATTTTTTTTGAAAAATGATATTTTTGATCTTTTCGGACAGTTTTTAGACGATGCTTTGAGGTTATTAGAATTTAGCAAAGTTCTAATTTGCTCCTGAATTACATTAAAAAAATTTCCTGTTTTTTTCAGTAGTTGATCAATAAAGTTATTGAATATTTTTTTATCCTATTCCTCGCTTTTTAATTCTGAAGATTGGCATGATTTTTCGTTTGATTATATGAAAATTTTTGAAGAGGAGGTATTTTTGCCGATTTTTTTCTTGAAAGATGAAATAACAAAATTTTTTTATGAAAATTCTTCTTGATTTTTCTAGATTTCCCGAACTTTTTTTCAACGCTCAGTCAACCTAATAACTACCCAAAATGATATTCGGGTCAACCGGAAACTGTTCAAAACGGATATCATTGAAACTTCTTCACCTTCTTGTAGGAAAAATGACAAATATCTCTCGTCGACCAAAACATGTACACAACACAAAAAGTGTTCAAAGGTAACCTGATCTCGAATCAAATCGAAGGGATTTGATCCGTGAAATTGGAAGAGACGAGAAAAGAACAAGCCGCCGTCGTATTCTTCTTTAGTTTCCGACGCATATTTTGTTGTTCTGGTCGGATTAGATCGACTTTACACACGAAGATATGGGAAACTATATCTTACTGGAGTATTGAAAACATAGTTTTTCGTGTTATGACCGAATTTTTTTCTCGCGAAAAGTTTCTGAGAACGGGAGTAGAGTTTTTGAAGTTTTTCTAGGGAAATCTATGAAGTCTGCCGCTTGGATAATCTAGAAATATCGAGAAGCTTTCGAGTCTGAAAGGAACAGTTTCGGAAAACAATACTCACAATCTAACAAGACATTAGAACGGAAAGATTTTGATATTTTTATGTGAAAAAGTTTTTTTTTCATTGTCACTAGACCTACTGTAGTTGATTTGCACTGAAATGGCATCGTGCTGACCGGAAACTCGGAACATGCATCCGACCTCATTGCGACTTGCGCCTGCCGCCGTCAGAAGCGTTGTGTTTTGTTTAGCTAGCTGTAAAGTTTCAATTGATACCTCAGAACTTTTTTCAAGCTGGCTTCGAAGAAAAAAGTCTTTGATTAGTTCGCGACGCTTTGAAACTATACAAGCTAGGCTTTCCGGAGCCATTGTTCATCTGCGCAAACTTCAAAAGCTTGACGAGCTTGATGTAAACCCACTTAATCCCACGGAAATGACCTTGATGATCGGTAAGATCCTAAGGCCCACCTGTCGGCTGGTGGCAATTCAGTTTCCGCCCTCCGAAGACAACTGTCTTCGTCTTCGTCTTCTTCTTTTCCGATGGGTTGGGCAAACGTTCGGCCTCGGGTCGTTTTGCATAATGTTCGGGCCTCGTTCTTCCCACCAGAACGTCTATTTTTTTTCTCGCTTTATTTGATTTCTTCTTTTCTCGTTCTTCTTCTCGCGTCGATACTACGATTCGTTTGTTTGGCAGCTTCTTGAGAGTTACTTTTTTGGGATGGGAGAAAATTTACTATCTTTTCTTTTAATCTATTATGGTGACAGTAGGTCTCATTTCTTTGGCGCAGTAGGATTTTTTGACTTGAGTTTAGAAAATTCATAGTGAAAATTACAAGTCATTAAAAGTTTGTCGAATAACTCCACTTCACATCATTTTTTTTTTCTGTAGAATGGTTCAACGCGTTGCGGTCGCGCTGCGGCTCAAGCTTGAGTCTCGAAGGTTACTTTTCAAAAACGAAAGCCAACTCCACCTGTGGCCCTACTTGATTCTATTTGTCCGATCCAATCAAATCCAACTTGCCCAGGTACACCTCTGTTTACCTTGACTCGGTAGGTCGACTCGTCCATTAGGCGCGCGTAGCGGCATTTGTTTTGAGTGTTCTGTCCAGGTGATATCGGTCTTGTTATCACTCCAATCAGTTGTATCAGATATCAGTTATCACCCGTATGGTTTTCGGTCACAACAAACAATAGTTGGTCATTTTTGGATTGGAGCATTTGCGCTCTGTTGCTAATTTTTGAATAAGTGAAAAAAAAAACATTTTTGGTCTCAGAAAAATTTTTGATTCCATTCGTTAATTTTTGCAAAATTATCAATAAAGCAGATATGTTTGGAAGCTTTTTTCGGCCTTTTCTCGCTGCCTTTTAAGCGATAAACAGCTGAGAAAAAATAGTCAACAAAGTCTTTGAACATCTGCGCTCCATGGCTGAATTTTTCGAATCATTAAAACCTGCAAAGTTCAGGTAGAGATATTTTTCCGATTATCAACGCACAAACAATTTGATATCGTTTTTCTACAATTTTAGTTGTGTTACTTTTAAAACAGCTTTCCATGGATCTTTCGCGAATAAAATCCGAAACCCATTCAGTAAATTGCTCACTTTACTCAACTCCATCTGGATTCAATTTCTTCACAAATTGGAAAGCGGAATGTGGCTCTACTCTTTTCGCTCTTTTGGTGGTCTTTGCTGTTTTTTCTTGATAGTTCCTGGCGAAATTAGTTTTGAACTTTTTTTCAAGCTGATAAAATGCTGGAAGCTATACCATGAATTTTCGGCTTTTGAACTGTTATCAAGCTCTTTTTTAAGCCTCCTTAGTGATGAAAGTGAGTTCAAAATAAGCTTGTTTTGATGACTTTACGAGTTTTTCGGAGCTTAAAAAAGGTACAAGAAGCTGAATCATTTTTTGAATAAAAAATGCGTCGTCGTATTTCATAGTTTTTTAAAGGCCAATAGGCCGTTTTTCTAATTTTTGCAGCCAATAATCGATCCCTAAAAAAATTTGTCGAAAATTTTTCATCTTCGCTCACAAAGACGCCGAATAAAATTTTTTTTGAATTTTTCCTAGGTCCAAGTGACCACAACACTTTTTTGATTCCGAACAATTTGAATGCCAGATGTGCACATTAAAACGCTGAGTACTCGGTTGTCACTCAGAAAACGAAATCGAAGAGTCCAAGCCGAAATGTAACACGGTGCCAACAACAGGCAATCGTCCGCGTTGTAAAGATTTTTCCGCGCACTCCCCTCCTCGCGTAATGGAGCACCCTCCCTTGCTTTGCTGTGCCGCTTTTGTCGTCCTTGATTTGCATTTTTATTGAACTTTCGAATTTTAAAGTTGCTTATTCCCAAAAGTGATTTTTCATGGCAAGCTGGAAAATTGGACAACAAACAAGAAAAAAAAAATTTCAATTCATAGAGCGGGTTTTCACTTTTTTCACCCACCAACAAGAGCAAAAAAGTCAAATTTTTAAATTTTCTAGCCTATTTTTGGCTGGAATTTCGAATTTCAAAAACCAGATTTCAAGCCGAAAAATTCAGTGTGAACTAGTGCAATATTAATTTATATTTTCTAAAAAAAGTGACTTACTCAAAAGGTTAAGAAGCTTTTAAAATCGCTCTACCTGAACCACGGAAATTTATTATTTTTTCTGTGCAACGTCTTCTTTGGAAACCTTCTTGTGCACCTGAAAGAAACGTATTTTTTCTGCTTGACGTAGCAAAATTGTCCATTTTGCTCCGCTTCAAAGCGTTTTTATGTATTTCAATAGCAATTTTCAGGTTTCTCAACACTTTTTTTTGTTAATGTTTAAGGTAAAAAGAAATTACATATCGTTTGTTCAAATTTTAGTCCCTGTAGGACTTCCTTCAGAATGAGAAAGTTATTTTTTCGAAAACCTTGAATGAAAAGTTCAACGCAGGGAAAAGTACGTTTCAGTGATTGAATATAATTATTTCTTGCTTTTGGAACTGTTTCTTGAGCATTGGACGAGCTTTGTAAAGAGTGCGATTTTTATGATGCTACAACAATATTCTTTTCCGGAAAAGAGACATATTCTGATTTTTTAATGAAAATTCGGGCAGGTTAAAACTTTTAGGACCCATTTTTTCAGTTGGTACTACAAGAAGTACCACGGCAATTACATAGAAAATTTCAAACCGTAAGATAAATTGACCTTCCAGATCAAAATAAAAAGCAAAGCTATTTTTATTCTCAATCTTCGAAAATTTTTCACGAAATTCTCACGGTTTTTCGAATTCGAGGACGACCGGTCAAAGCTTTTGCCTGCTCTGACCGTTCCCGACGTGATTTTCCCACACTTTACGGCACCTCTTCACGGCCTCATGCACATTCCAATCGCCTCATTTTTTTTTTTTGGCTTTTTTTATCTTCGTTTCGGCTGAAAATGGAAGGGTTTTTTTAGGGAAAAGTTGTATTTTTTTAAATTCTTTCATCGGCACTTTCAAACAGGTTTTTTTTAATTTTTTGAATTTTTTTATGAAGACCAGAAGTTTTTTTAATCAATGAGAGAAGCATCAGAATAATTAATCAGAATTTTTTTTTCGACAGATTTTTCTTGTTCTTTCTATCCGTTTGATTCTCTAATCTCTTTTTTTTGTTGTTGTTGAAAATCAGTTTAATATTGTATTCCACTGAAACCTATGGGACATAGAGGATCGCTTGATTACTCAAATCATTAATATATCGAATCAGTTGCTCCACCTGAACATTCCTCATCTTAACGAAAATGAAAATATGCGAACTCGAGGCCACCGACTGCCAATAAATTCGGGGCACTTTGCGTGCCGTCGCCGCCCTGCGAACACCTGTTGGCCGTGGCCCAACATTCGGCTTCCGAGCCCCGTCACCTTCTCTTTTAATCTGCCAATTAGTTCAAGTGCACCCATTATGTTTGGTTATTTGGCATTTTTACACCGACAGGCGGATATTTTTTATTGCTTTGACGCTTTTTTTTTGTTGAGAGTACTTCCAAAAACTTAGATAACTGGTGTTTTTTTTTGAAGAAAATTAAGCGAGCTGTTGAGATCATAACTACCCAATGGGAATTGAAAGCGCTTTAAAGATCTCAAAGCTGAAAATTGTGAGCATGAGCTCAGTAAAGGAGCCTCAGAATTGTAATTGCCAGAATCGTTTTTCCGTAGTTCAAGGTTGTGAGCATGAGCTCAAACTCTGTTTTAAGCTCCCGGTAGTATCAGAGCTAGGTTTTTCAGAATTTTTTATTCAAAAAAGATTCAGTTCAGATGGTCACATCGGACACAAAGTTCAGATCGGATGGTAGGGAGCATGAGCTTTCAAAGCGGCCAGAAGCTCAAACCAATCCTCATGGTCTTTGATCTATGTTCTCACTTGCCAATGGTCATTTTTAAGGAAGCTTGTAGCGAAAAATAAGCACTTATCAAAGATAGATGGACGGTAGCCGGGGGGTACACCTGCGGCATTCCCGCGCCATCTCCTCGCGCAGCTTGTTGTTTGCAGAGGAGCTCTTTCTCTCTCTCTTGCGGGAGCTTCTTGTTGCTCCAGCTTCTTGGCTTCTTGGCTCGTTGAAGGGGAGAATTTTCGCACCTTTCTCCATGCGGTTGACGGCAAAAGACAAATTTTTCGCTCTCACTTGATCTTGGTTTGGTTTTTGTTTTTAGTTGAAAAACGGTTTTTTCAAGAATTTCGCATAAGGTTAGTAAAGATACAGTAACTCATAAGATTTAGAACCAGTGGAAAAAAAAACAGTAGCTGATGGAAAAAATCAGTTTTGAAAGTCCCACTGCCACCTCAAATGATTCCCTCGTTAGTTTTATCTCAAAAGATCAATTCCCTATGTTTCTTCCCCTTTTTGATAATCTCAAGCTTTCTTTTAAACAATTCCAAGACCTGAGAATCATAAAATCCAACTTTTATGCATTTGAGAATGTATCATTGTACATATAGAGTTGTGTTCTGCCCTGTCGGCCCTTGTTTGCACTGTCTGAGCATTTCGTCGCCCATTTTTCCGTTGTCTCCATTGAGAAAAAGCTTCAGTGACACCTCCGCCTTATTGTTTTCATATGTGTCTACACTGACGATCTATTCCATGACCTTCGGATTCTCGGATTAAAATTTGGGGATTTTAGAGGCGTTTCGATGATTTTTGTTCAGAGGAAGATGATGATCTTGTTTTTTTTTTATCACGATTATTGATTTTTGCGATGTCTAGCTTGGAGGTGGAAGAAGCTGTAAAATAAGCTAAACTAGTTTTTCCGAGTTTTTGGTCATTAATTTAAAAAAAAATCTTTGGTTTCAATTGAGACTTTGAAACGATTTTTCTGTAAGTCAAGTTGAAAACAAATTTGTTTTTCAATTATTTTTCAGCTTTTTCTAGGTTAAGTCTCGTTTGAATGAGTGATTGGGTGATTGAAGACTCAGCATAACAATAAAAACCGCTTTTCGTTTCGAGACCTTACAAAAAGTTTTCCGTGCTCCTTTAAAAAAGAAAGATTTTGAAGTGACTCCAGCAAAAACTGGCAGAAGAATTACGGTACCGATCCGAATTACTTGGAAAATCCTCGTTTCCAGCTTCTCCTTCTGTTCTTTTTTCCATTAAGCTTGTACCATTTTTTGCCGGTGTCCCGACTTTGATGAGAGTTGCGTCAAACGTGTCCTCCGACGAGGCGCCGCCGCCCAATTTCCAAACACATTTGCTTGATTAATCCGAAGAGAGAGGCGAGATTTTGATGACTAATCGCATTTGTCGGTGTCGTTTTGATTTCACGTCGGATGACACTCTCCAGTCGGGACTCCGGTTGGTTTTGCGTCGGTTGCAAAACGAACGGCCGCCTCTTTTCCGCCGACGCTGCCGTTCTTCTTTGCCGTTCCGATTGGACCACGAGTGACGATCACGTCGGCTTCTTCTTCTTTTTTTTTGAATATTCTCGAAAGGCTGAGATGTATCGAACTTTCTTACAACCATCATCCGATCCTTAGGTCTTCTGACATCTCCTTTTTTCGAAAATTTATCATTATGTTGTCTGAGTTACGTCGAACTTTCTGACGGTCATCAGCAGATTGTTAGGTCTTCCTGGGACTTGTTTTCCCACTTTTTTTTTCAGAATTCATCAACAGTGAGTGGGCTGAGATATGTCAAACTTCCTTATTCACACCGGATAGATAGACCAAGCTTTGGCCTACTTATCTTTATATCTCTATTTTCAAATTTGACTTCTAGGATTGCTTCAAAAAATCTTTCGATTTGAATAAGGACATCATGACCGTAATAGGTTTTTTTTAGATAATGAAAGTTTGAAAAATTAGGTTTAGTTTATTTTTCCAAAACTTCGGATTTTGATTCAGAGAACCTGATAACGTGAAGAAGGGGCTAGAATCTTCTGATTTTTTTATAGGTTATATTATATATCGATTATTGATCATATTGATCATTCAACTCGTAGTTATCCTGTTTTATCAAGAAAAAAAGTTGAAAAATTTTTTGGATCACTGTTTCAGAAAAAAATTCGATCTGAAGTTGTGAAACAACTTTGTTTTTTCGAAATTGAACTTCGAAATGTCCTACTAACAAGGGAGGGATCATATCACTTTGCGGTTGGGAACTTCTTGAAATTTGGCCAGAACACTCCTAGGTGTACCCAATCGAGACCATGAAGGCCGCAACATGCACAACTTCCCGTTTTTGAGAAATAAGGGTTGAGAGCTCTAAAATAGCTTATTTTAACGGATTTTGATGCGCTTCTTCCACTTTGAGGCGTCGTTACTCAAAAATAGAAATTTGTACAGTTTGAGACTTTCAGAATTTTCATTAAGAAGTGTTCCAACCAATTTTCAAGAAATTCCCAATCGCAAAGTAAAATTACCCTTGTAAAATAATTTTATCAGTGGAGCGCAAATGTTTTTCAACTTTTTGCCAACTCTCTTTCGCCAACGGAAGGAGTTGTTATGTACTGATTATATGAGAAATTTGCCTTTAAGCAATCAAAGAAGTTTTCACCCAATAATGGCTCAGTTTTTCGGCAACTTTCTCGCAAAATTTGATCTACCAGTCCTGTCAATCAACTTTTTTCGCCTCAATTTTCCCGCCATGCTGCACCTATATCGATGACTGCCGATATCAGCACGCATGGCGCAACTTGAGGACCTGGAATATTCCGGATTCTCGCGCACCTCTCTTCCGGCACTTTTTTTTGCTCTTTGTTTACCGCAGCAACGGTGCTCTCGCCCCCACTGGACACCCTTCAACCTTGATTTTTTCTCAGTTTCCTTGTTTTTGTTGGTTTTTGATATGAAACCTTTTCATGAAGGTGTTGAAGATCGCCTTGAAAGTTTTGAAAATTTTATTTTGCGACAATTTCAATCAATTGTCTTGAAATCATTCAATTAGAAGTTTTTTTAAGGGCAGAAGGTTCCCTAGTACTTATTATTCAACCCAGTTATTTGATGAGATAGCCCCGAGAACTTGAACTGTTCATACAGAGTGGGAGATCGAAAAATTTGGACCTTATAAACTTGAAAACAATTTTTTAATTTTTTCATATCGGAATATCTGGAAAACTTCCAAATTTGCTAGTTTTGAAAACTTTCATTGATGAGATCCCTTTGAAAACCCGAATTTACCCATAGAGCGCACAAACTTGATACTTCTGGCCGTTTTGAACTGATGATTTGTTTTCTTTTTTTTTTATTCGAAGCTTAAGAATTTGAAAGAACTTTTTCGAAAGTAGTGTAAAAGTTTTGAGAAACTTTATTCATGGAAAGCATACTTTTGGACTTCCGGTTTCCGAAAAAAATAGCTCAAAACTTAAAATCTAAGTAGAAGTTTAAAAATCTTTTTTAAAAAAAAGTTTTCTTCTAGATTTTCTTGTTAATCGACTAACTTTTCTGCCGTTTGGATTTTTTTTCCTGTTCATTTTCTCTTCTTCCCCTGAATTCAGTTAGATTGATCATACTAAAGTCGAGATTTTGCAGATGAATCTGGAGAAGAACTGAACAAACTACTCGTTTTGCTGTTGGGCTGTGCGATACAGAGCGACCGAAAACGGCTGTTTGTCGACCGGATCACCAAACTCGACGCAAAAGTTCAGATCGGACTTGCTAGTCATATTAAGAAGGTGAGAAAGATTATCCTGCTTTGATAGTTTTAGTGAAAATCTCATTTTTTCCTAGTTTTTTTCAAGTAGAGCTTTATTTGAAATTCTATTCTGGAATAGTTGTCTTATTATCAAATTTCGTGAAGAGCTTTCTAGTGGTACATTTTTGCAATATGAGTGTTCAATATCATAATTATTGATCCTTTCATTTTTCAGTTGACTGAAGGAACCTCCATCGTCGTCAGCGCTTCTGAAGCCGACCGATTTGAGGTCTTCCGACATTTGGAAAGAGTTATGAGGGAACGCGACGCTCTGGTGGAGATAGCCTCGATTGATCAGGTAAGGAGGAAGCTTTCAGCATTCCAGTGAATTAACTTTGATTTTGAAAATCGAGCTTTTTTTTGAAAGTTCTGAAAAACTTTTTTTCCCTGTATTACTTCCAACGACCTTGGTTCTGGATGAAAAATAAATTTGCCATTACGTTTTTGAATATTTTTTATTGCTGTTTTAGCGGGAGTTACCTTTTGAAGTACAATAAAACAAAGCAAAATAAATAGATCCAGTGAAAAAATCAAATTGGAACAAAGCGACAAATATTGAATTTTCCAAAAAGAAAGTTTTTTTTTGAAAAAAGAGAAGCTTGAAATTCGATTTTGAAGAAAGAAGATTAAAATTTTCTTATTTTTTCCGATCTTTTTTTCAAATTCTAAGATGTTTGTCCCAGGAAAGCGACGAAGGGAGCAGTACAACCGCCGCCTCTTCCCTAAATGGAGATCTCCCGCCGAAACGCAGAGACTTTATTTATGGTGAATTTAGAACTAAATTTCGGAAAATAAATATTTTTTTCCAGAACGCCGATCCCCGTCCCCTTCATCATATGAACGTCACACCAACGTGGAAATCGCCGAGGCGAAGTCGCAAATCAGAAAAATTGCGGAAAACAACGTAAAATTTTGCTTTTTGATAGATTGAAGTTCATTCATTACTACCTAGTCGTTGAAAGAATTACTGTAGAATTCTCATAATTAATTTTTTTGTTTGTATATTCTCACGTTAAAAAGTAGTCAGGTAGGCTTTTCTTATGAAAACTTTCATTTTCCAATTTTTTTGAGCAAGGAAATAGCTGTAAACACTTCGAAGGTTCGGTTTTTCGAAAAAAAGATTTTTTGATACTATCAGCTAAATACTAGGAAAAAATGAGATAGTTTTAGAGAAATTTACGATTTTTTCCTTTTTGCGATTAGCCACACAGGTGAATTTGGTTAGATGAGATTATTTTAAAACCGTCTGACTTGTCTGCGCTCTCTTTCTCTCACCTTAAGGGTAGAAAGAAATAAAATTAACACGTAGAACAAAGAGATTGCAGACACACCAAACGGCTCCAAGTTATAAGGAAAATAACACGGGGAAACTAGAGGGTGCAGACAGGCTAGATAGTTTCAATTTAAAAGGAAAATAGAATAAAGTTTAGACTGATCAGCCTTTTTTTTTGTCGTAGGAAAACTACTTAGAATTGAGAGAGCTTAGAGAAACCAGAGTCTCTGAAATCACTCCAAAATCTTTAAGAGAAAATTTTCCAGAGAGGAAAAAGACGACGAGATTCACGATTTGAAGTATGAATTGGAGGAGAAGGCGGAATTGGTTTGAGAATTTTGAACGAATTTTCCAAAAATCTCAATTTTAGATTCATAAATTGCAAGAGGAAAGATTGGAATTGATAAAGGATGCCAGGGCCGCCAAGGACTACCGAGACGAGTTGGACTGTGTCCAACATAAGGTTTCGAATTTCATGATGATAAAATTTTAATATTCATGTTCAGATCACGAAAATGGACAAAATCGAGTCGGAGAACGCGAAAATGCGGGAGAAGCTCAACGATTTGGAGTTTTTCAAAACGCGATCGGAGGTGATTTTTAGAATTTTATATAAAAAAGGAGATCGCTTGGAATAGAGCGGTTGTGAAATTGTATATTTTATTAGGTCTCCAGAATTGGAATTTTAGTAATCACAGCTTTCTTGTTAAACTGTTAAATGCTGTCATGAGGCTTTAAAATCATCATTTTTCTCGGGATTTTTTTTCATTTGTAGTCCTCTTGAGCATTTTTTTTAAAGGAGCATAACTTCATAAATGTCTCGAGGCGAACAGCCGTTTTCAATATTAGGTCGTGCGAAACTTCGCGCCTCACCTCAGAAATTATTTTTCAACACGTTTCATCACTCTACACTGTCAAAATTCGAAGTGAGAAAAACGGGTGCAAAAAGGGAATGACTGCAAAATGGTCGCTAAAAGGGCGGCCTTTATTGAACCTTTCATTCTTGGTAGGCTAAAAAGCCTCAAAAAAATGTTTAAAAAGGATGAAGAAAAAGTGAAGACCGATGAAAGAACGGAAAAAAGCAGTAAAAAGGAAACCGTTGTCACCCGTTTAGGAACAATTTATGAAAACCTTCCGCACCCATGACGGACGCTCAAAGGGCCCCTAAAGGGTCTAAACGTCTATGTAGAGTATCTCTCAAAATCTCAAAAATAAATGTTTTGATTAGACTGTAGCTTTTAGAGTTTCAGTTTGAAATAGTTCCACAGTTCATCCACTTAACTTTTTCGAATTTGAGATAAAATAAATTGTTTTTCTCTGCATATTATTCGTAAGTAAGAGAAACAAAACGTCCAAGTTTTTTATTTGTGACTAAATCTTCTTGTTCAAGCCGAAACTTCCTCCTCCTCATTATTCATTTTGGACTGTAATGACCACCCAATGTCGTAAATAAAGGGCCGCCGAATGTGATTTTTCTTCTCCTTCTTTTCGTGCCGTTCGTGTTTTTGGAAGGCGCCATTCTCTACCGATTCATCTTATTCGTTTGCCTTCCTAATTCTGACTAAGTTGCCCTATTTGAAGACGATGTTCACGTTTTCCATGGAGAATGTGAGGCTTTTTGATAGAATTTTACTTGGAAGCCTGTCATTCCTAAGTTAGAAATCAAATTTTTTTGGAGAAACATTGGACCATTGAAGGATTACATTGTAGAACTTAATTGGCCACTAGAATTTCTAGAACTGTGAGGATAAATTGAAGTTTCGAAGTTCGAAAGCAGTTTTTTACGCAGATCAAAAGCTTTATTTTTGAAGATAAAGGCCACAAAAGTTGTCAAAAATGACATTTTTGGTAAATTTTGTCCCTGAGATGTCTCAGAATTTGATTGGAAAAAAAAATATTTTGAAAAATTAGGCTCAAAGTTGCTCAAACTGAACAGTTTTTAAAATTATTATTAGTAACAAATAAAATTTCCAGGACTTGAGCAAGGCCAACGCATTGCTTGACGAAAGTATTGCCGAACTCGAAGAACAGATTTCAAGGTTACAATCGGAAATCAAGGTATTTTCCTCGATTCAAAATTAAACTCATCAAATTGAAATTTTTCAGGCCCAAACAGAGACCGAAATCCGATTGGAAGAGGCCAAAACCTCGATTCGATCACTTCAAGACGTGATTTCTGAGAAAAATCAGCGGATAGAAGATCATATCGAGGAGCAGTTGAGGCTGGAAGGCGAGCTGATGAACAGAAATGCAAAGATTGCCGAGTTGGAGAGGTAATTAAAGTAGAAAAAGTCAACTTTCATTGCAAACCTGAAAGCCAATCACCATAAAAGTTGGGCTGTAGGGATGATTTTTCAGAAAACTTGGTCGCTGACATTTTTGAAACCGTAAACTCGGGTTTGCCGCTTCATTAATCGGATCTAAAAAATTTTACTCTGTTTTTTTTTTTTGGCTCCAACAGTCACCTGTTTCAGCAGTGCTTATTACAATGAAAAAAGTTCTGCGTACAATCTGGATTTGGTTTCAGAGACTCTGTCTCCTCAACGCCTCGACATGCTCTTGGATCCCTGGCCGAACAGCTTGGCGACGCTGATCGACAAGAAATTAGCCGTCTCCGGGCCGAAAACCGGAAACTGAGGGCTCAAACCGAAGGAGCTTCTTCGACCACGGCAACTCCTGACACTTCGTAAGGATTCAGTTACTTTGAGATGTTAATTTTTTTCCTAGTCCTGAAAAAAAAACTAAAAAACTTACGAAGAGCCGTGTGAAGCTCGAAAACCAGGTCTGGAAAGTGGATTTTCTAAATTTTCAGCAAAATGTCTTAAGCGTCGCGGTCGCGAAGCGGCTGGATAGTACTCTGGAATTTGATAGCTTACACTATCTTACAGCTTCGGTGTTACCCGTAATCCAGAAGCCAAAAAAAAAACATAGTTTAATAGTTTTCATGCAAATTTAATGTGTACCAACAAGTTCAACCTGTATATTTTCGAAATCTCGAAATTTTCCAGATTTTTGGTCCCTCCTGGCGAGGTCGAGGAACTGCGCACGAATCTCGAGGTTCAAGAACAACGCGCCGAAGAGTTCCGAGTCGAAGCCGAAAAACTCAAAATCGAACTCAAACAGTTTGATTCGACGTTCGACCGTGTTAGTCAGGAGCTTCTGGAGGTCAGATCGGACACCTGAAAAGAAGAAATGAACGAACATTTCCAGGCCACACGACAGATTGAAGTGATGAAAGTGGAACGAGATGAGGCTCTTCATGGCCTCTGTGACGCTCGCCGAAAGTTTGCCCAGTTCCAGACGGAGTTTGGCAAAAAGCTGGAGGAGGAGTCGGAGAATAAGGTGAAGAACGAACAGTTTTCCGATTTAGAGAAAATAAATCAGAACTGTAGATCTGCCATGTTTAGACAAATTACTGTTTCCATATTAGAATAAAAGGTGAACTCATAAAAGGTGAACGCGACGGAGGCGGGACGCGTAGCGTGTGCGTACGCGGTTCTTGGCACGAGTTCAATTCAACCGTCAGAGACTATTCGGAGAAATATTTACTCGCTCTTTTCATTTATTATTTCATTTTTACATTAAAAAATAGTTGAATAGATGCAAAAACAGCGGTTCCAGAGCTTTTTTAAAAAGTCGGCGGCGCTTGAATTGAACTTGTGCCAGGAACCGCGTACGCACACGCTGCGCGTCACGCCTCCCTTGCCTATCAAGTGGGGATGATGGATTGACTATAAATGCACATATTATAAGGACTAAAAACTGCATGTCTTTTAAAGAAGTTCAATTTTTAACTGTGACCAGTTCTTGGTAGGAAATTGAAAGTTCAAACGTTAAGCTTCTTCTTCAAAAAGTCTAGCTCTATGATTGAAAACAAGTTTTGAATAATTTTCTTTTTCTTTGCCAAATATAGTCTGTGTGCCACGACTTGAAGTTTCACCGAACGACATTCCGTTCCGCTGCGTGCGTTCGCGAAGCGTCTTTCGAATATGGCTCACGCTTTCAATGTATTGTTATTGCTGTGGGAGAACATGAAAGTAGAGTACATTAATGAAAGAAAAAAAAATTAAAAGCGCGACAAAAGTTGGCAAAGGCGCGCAGCGGCACAGCGGAATGTTTGGTGAAATTCCAAGTCGTGGTACACAGGCTATAACTATCCTTTTATCCGTTGATCGATTATTAACCTCGATTCTTTTCCAGATCCGAGAGCTGGAGTTTGACCTGAAAGAAGCCAAGCGGCGACTCCAACAGGCGGATGAAGATCGTGGCGAGATCGAGGTTCAACTTGAAAGAGTCCGGGAAGAACAAAAGAGGCTCCGAGTGGACCTGGATGAGGCCAGGGAACAGAGAGGACAACAGGAGTTGGCTCTTGCTCATGCCGAAAGAGCACGAAGGAGTGTGGAGAATGAGAGGAACGTCTTGAGGGTTAGGAAATCGAGAAAAATCTCATTAATGGGTTATTTAATTAAGGAGAGATCAGAGAAGCTTGAAGATGAGCTGGAGGACATGCGAATGCGACTTCTGAACACTGATGATGCTGCCAAGAGATTGGAGGACCGGGAGAAGATCATGGTTTTTAGTTTTTACAGAAAAATTAAGCTTTAAGTTTCTAGCTCTAACAAGAAGCTCAAAGTATGTGTTTCCGACTCTCTTGAAGCGCTTTGAAATCGATTCATTTTCCTCTAGGTCGAGCAGAAGAACCGACTTGGCGACTGTGAAGCCGAAGTCAGGACCCTGCAGCAGCAGCTCAAGCTGGAGCAGAACAAGACCCAGCGTCTCCGGGAAGACTTAGTGGCTGAGAAATCGCGTGGATCTGAAGTCGTCGGACGTCTTCGATCGCTCTGCGCCGCGGTGTCGCTCAACGGCGGCAAAATCGACACCGAGATGGACGATGTCAAGGTGAAAGAGGGAGATAATCATGAAAAAGCATAGTAATTAGAAAGAGTTCATAATAAAATAATACCATACATGGGCACCGTTTTGAGGCGGCCATTCTCCCAGTCTTACTGAATTTAAGTCAAGTTCCATTGAAGTTGAAACTTGATTAATTTAATTTTTTCAACAATTCTCCAGTATTTTTTTAAACTCAAAAATTGTCTTAAAGGCCTTCTTCAGCCGGAAAAGAGAGCATCACTTCTGAAATTGAAAAAAAGTTCAAATAAATCTAACTTGTGAATTTGGATCACTTCCAGCTGATCGATTCCATCGATGACGTCATCATGACGGCTCTCACCACAGCCAGACGTGAATCCGACGCCCTCCGACTCCAACAGCACACACAAATCGCTGAACTTGCCGATTTGAAGAAGGATATCGAGAAATTGAGGTAAATAAAACAGTTCTTCTGGAAGGAACGAAAATATGTGAAGAGGTCTTGTTGAAAAATGAAACTTGGGGACAAAATCCGTTTCTCCAGAACTTGTAGGGATTGAGAGCACGTCGGCAAAGATCCATATATCAAAATTGTCTTCGTTTCTCATTTCTTTAGGTTTCTTTTTCTTCACAGGGGAAAAAAGAAGTTTTTACGGCTTTTCAGTAAACTATTTTCATAAATTTCAACACCTTCTAGCTTTTCAAAAAGAGAGTCATATTTAGACCCTTCTGGTACTTTCCTGTCTATTCTTATTTCAAGGACATACTCAAATAAATGGACTTTTCCAAGATTAGCAAGCGAAAATTTGAATCTTTTCTGGTCCATTGTTGGCTTTTCCTTTCCAAAAGCCAACCCAAAGAATTTCAAATCCTCAACCCGTTTTGATCGGCCTTTTTTCTTTGATCCATTGAAACGAACGCGTTGCATGTGCAAAGAAGGTTCCCCTGGGGCGTGGCTGGGATTCTCAACAACGAACACAAAGAAGAGAACCAGAGGAACGGTTGTACAAGACAACTTTCCTCGTTTTTCGTGCCATTCGAAAAAAAATGTCCATTTCCTGTGTTCAAAGAAGGAAAAGTCAGCAACGGCCAAGGGATAGCGTGTATTTTTTGTGAGTTTCTTGGGAAAAAAGTGTTGTAGCTTAGGTAAAGTTGGGTAAAGCCTTTTTTAAAATGTGTCCTGAAAAACTGAAAAAAAGGTTATTTTGCTGCCTTTTGGCGTTTTTTTTACTAGCCAGATTGACTCTTTTTGCCGCCTTTTAACACTTTTTTGAGCCTTAAAAATCATAATTGAAATCTTCAAAGAAGCCTCAAAGCGGGATCCTTTCAGCAGCTTTTCTTAAGATCTTCAGAGGGGTCACTATAGAGCCAACCTTAGAGGCCCTTGGAGATTCCCCTCTAGGAACAATTTTAAACCCCTATGAGGGTCAATAAAGCTTGCTAAATAGGTCCCTATAGGGGCATGCTAGTCGATAATTTTTATAAACTCCCCCTAAACGGACCATTCAAGCTCTAGGGGCCCAGGATTCAGACCCTAAACCCCTATAAATACAACCTTGATTCCACCTCTATAGGGACCACCTTTAGTAGCTTTTTTTCTTTTCCCCCGATCCCTAGTTGGATCACTTCAAAATTCCTGAGTTCTCCAAAAGTTATAGACCTTTTCGGGCAATTTTTGGACATTTCTGACTTTGCCACAAAAAAATATACTTTCTATTTGTATTTTTTTTTTGTCTTGTAGGAGAAGCGAGAGCGCCTCTCTGACGGAAAGCGATGATCGTGTTCGCGAATTGTCCCAGGAGAACATTGGAATGAAGGAACAGGTATGGTTTTTTTGTATAGAACAGAACAATAATAGGAAAAAAAGAGCTCTTTTTTTATGATCAAAATTCTTTGAAATGAAAGTGCCATGGGAAATTTCGTTGTTTTCACGTTTCGAAAGTTTCGATTTTACGCTCATTTTTTTGGACTGAATATTGACTTTAAAATAATTTCTCAAAATTTCAAAAAAACAAATATGGCGTTTTTTGCTTTTTTCAGGAAGGTCTGAGAATTTTTTTAAAGTTGTTGGGGAATAATGGTACTAATGCAGAAAAATTGTCGTTTTTTTCTAGTCTGAAAAAAATTAAAAAAAATAAGAATGGAACTTCAAAAAAACTCACTCGACTTCTATAAATTTTTCAAGTTGAATTCTTTGCTTTTTTTATTTGTAATATTATTTTTTTGAATTGGTCGAATAAGCATTAAGATGATGGTTGTTAGAATCTAAATTTTGTAACTGTTAACTTTTTTTGAATTTTTTTATAATGCCATTTTTTTGGCGAAACTCTCGACCAAAAAAAGTGTAACTATCTCCCTTGTTGCAAAGCTTTTTATTCTTATTACTTTCATAATTCTATCAAAAACGGACTTAAGTACATACATAGTATCATGAAATTTGCAGGTGTTCATGGTCCAAGAAAAGGTCCGCGAGCTCAACATTGAAATCGCCACCAAGAACAGCGAAATCGTGTCGGCGAAGCGAGAAATCGAGGAGTTGCACCGTAATCAGGTGCGTATCTAAATGGGAATGGATCAGTGGATCTAAAAAGTTGAAAAAACTAGATTTTTTTTTCTCTATTTCGTAAGGTAATCCAGAAGGATTTACCGTAATCCACCGCGTATCTATCTTAGAATAGATGAGGATCGTTTTATTTTGATAAAATTGAACTCAAAAATAAATAAGCGGAAAAATTGACCCTAGTTGACCTTCAATGGCTTTCTAAAAGAAATGGGAAGATTTTACTATCAAAAAAATGCGTATCTAACTTGGAATGGCTCAGAAATGTAGCTTGAACGTCATTGGATTGATTCAAAGCTCAAAAAATGATCGGAAAAGAAGTAGGGTGGACAATGAATATGGTAGGGAGTTTTTATAGTACCCTACAGTATATCTGCTTCCTACAGTGTTGTGGAGTTGTTATTTTTCCTCTAAATGTCATTATTTGAAAGTTTTGATTGCCATCAAAGAAGTATTTTTTTTCAATTTTTTTCAGTTATACCTCAAACTCCTTTCCTTGATCCCATGCCTGAGCTTTCTTGTTTTTTTTTTTTAGGTAGTTTTCTAAAATGGAAGGCGGGCTCCTTCTTTCAATTTTTTCCGGAGTCTTACCTGATCATCCGTTGTAATCACCTTGGCTTGTCCCCATCAAGACAACAAGATCCGGTCGTGGTTCCGAACAGACGTACGGCGGCGCCGGCGAAGATTTACGATTGATGGAGGGGCGAGACAATTGTTTATGGGGAGGCGATGAATCAGAGTTGTCGATGTTGTTGTTGATCTTCTTGGAATTCCTCGGATTTTCTAGAAGTTATATACAGTACTGGCCATAAAGGTATTTCAAGGTGGTTATTCGAGCATAACTTGTCTGAAAGTGGCTCAAATGATTTGAAACTTTGAACAAATTTTTAAATAACTACGCAGTAACTTTTTTTCCCAGAAGAAGTACTCATTTGCTCGAGTGAAACCGGATTTGAGAGCAAAAAAACCGAAAAATCCTGAAAATGAAGATTTTTTTCTCTTGAGATTCGAAAAATCATATCTTCGAAGAAACTTCGATTTGAAATCAGAAACTTTTTTTCCCGGTAAAACAAGTCTTCGACTTTCCAAAAAACTTAATCAGCCCCCTATCAACCCGATAGTAAGAGCGTAGTGACTTTTTCTTTGGAAGGCCTTATTCGTTTTGACGCCTCGTCATTCAGATGGACTATACGAGGTCATTTTTGTTTGAGAACACCATGTTTCTTGTTAAAAACTTAAAAACACCCTCAAGAATAGTTTCACACCGTTTTCCTCAGCTTTGTCACTATATCCTCTCTCCAGAACTCGCTTACTTCACTAGGTCTGATTTTGAAATCTCGGATTCAAACAGTTTTTCTGGACTTACGGGCATTCAAAGCAGTTTTTGTCTGATCAATCGCTTTTCAATCGTGAATTCGAAAATACATAATGGCCAAATTGCAGTCTCCCACTTCCTGAAGACTGCTAATTTTTTTGCTGAAGCATTAGTTTCACAAGATCAAAAACTTATTTTCCCATAAATTTTGAAGAAACGTTTTTACAGTGCCTATTTTTTTGACCTGAGAGCTATAAAGAGGAGTTACAAATTTATCTAATAATCTTAAACGTTTAAAAAAATTAAAAAAAGGGGTTTTTTTATCATCTTTCACAAGATTTAGAGCCTTCTAAGCAACACTTGTTGAAATGAAGTTTTTGAGAACTTTAAGAAACTCAGTATAACTCACTATATCTTTTGAGTAAAGTAAGCGAAACACAGTGAGTCTTTTTTTATTTTTTTATTCATAAAGATTCTGAAAAAGCTTTGGAATCTGAAATAAGAAATTGAGAATGTTCTGATTTTTGGAAAACGAGCAGAACCGCTCCAAATCAGAGGTTTCAAAAATCAGACCCTAGTGAAGTAAGCGAGTTCTGGAGAGAGGATATAGTGACAAAGCTGAAGAAAACGGTGTGAAACTATTCTTGAGGGTGTTTTTTTAAGTTTTTTTAACAAGAAACATGGTGTTCTCAAACATAAATGACCTCGTATAGTCCATCTGAATGACAAGGCGTCAAAACGAAAAAGGCCTTCCAAAGAAAAGCCACTACGCTCTTACTATCGGGTTGATAGGGGGCTGATTAAGTTTTTTGGAAAGTCGAAGACTTGTTTTACCGGGAAAAAAAGTTTCTGATTTCAAATCGAAGTTTCTTCGAAGATATGATTTTTCGAATCTCAAGAGAAAAATCTTCATTTTCAGGATTTTCGGTTTTTTGCTCTCAAATCCGGTTTCACTCGAGCAAATGAGTACTTCTTCTGGGAAAAAGTTACTGCGTAGTTATTTAAAATTTGTTCAAAGTTTCAAATCATTTGAGCCACTTTCAGAGAAGTTATGCTCGAATAACCACTTTGAAATATCTTTATGGCCAGTACTGTATAATTTCATTTTGATAAGACTTCCTTTCTCTACTGTGCGAAGTTCTATGTATAAACACGTCTCCTGCGTTGAGTTTCAAGCTCATTTCTGATCCCCGATTTTCGGAAAAATAACCCCGTTTCTCATCTTTTTCATGATCCCGCTCTCAAGCTCAATTTCTATGAGTCTAATTCGAAATTTTCCACTTAATGTTCGGATTTTACGACCTTTAGCTCCATAGCTTCATTACAACGCTAAATGAACCATTTTTCAAAGCAATTTCTTTTTTCCTCATTTTTATAGAAACTCATCAAGTTGGCGATTTGCCGTGGATTGTTAAAATCTCTCTGTATTAAACCAAGGAGAACGTAGAACGTAGTAGGAACGCTTTGTGGAAAGATGTAAAGTTGAATGATTGGCAGGCGGCGTGTATGTTCGTCTGTGTGTGTACCTCCGGACAACATTTTCCATCCTTCTCTTGCTCAATTGCAAAATTTTAAAGATCTGTTTCAATCGAGTCGGATTTGACCATTCTAATGATTTCGTCTTGAGATTATCAAATTTTCATCAGCTTCCAACCGGGTTTTTTGGCCTCACAGAGAGGTTTTTTAATGAAATTTGGCTAGATTTCATTAGATTTCTTCTTTTCACATCGAAAACGAGTTTGTGTTCAAGAACAGACTAGGAGATCTGTGGAAAAAGATTCCGTCGTTTAAAATTTAAATAAAAGGTCATATCAAGTAGGAAAAATATTTCAGATATTCGTAAGCTTCTTAGCAACCATCAAAAAGCCACGTTTCGGAACACTTTCATCCAAAAAAAAGTTATAGACTTTTTGTAGCCACCGTCTTCTATTAGAAAAGTTTGCTCACTCGGAAAGCGTTCTTTTTTTCGGTTTTAAGAGGCCTGAAGATTCGAACTTCGCCTGGAAATTGCATCTGGTGATACTTTTTGTCAATTTTTCGAAGAACTCTTTTTTTCAAAATTTAGAGTTCTCTATCATTCTTCATAATTTTCTTCCCTAAAATTTTCTCCAAATTCAAGCTTTTCAAAAACAGTTCAGAACTATTTTTTCGAAATTTTTTCACCTTTCCTGTTACAGTAAGAAAGAAAGCCCTTCTTTTTTTTCTTGGTCTTTTACCCGCTGTTCCTGCCTGTCATTCAAGCGTGTGTCACCTCGGGTTGACATTGAAACAGAAGTGCGAGGCGTGCCATATGGACTCACCAAGAGGAAATGGACCTTCATTTCAAATTCTTCCCCCCTTCCGACTCAATATTTCATTACTCAAACGATTCAATTGGGAGAAGACCGTTTTATTGCTTCTTTATTGAGTGGGATAGCGTGAATGGGTTTGGGTTTTGAGATGGTTGAATGGAAGAAATAGAAGATGGATAGTACTAAATTTTTGTGGTCACAAAGAAAATTAACTTCTTTCTATTTTTTCATAATTTTTGAATAACTATAAAACTTCTGAGCCTTTATCTGATCGTTTATCTTGCGCAATTAGCCTCCGTTTTTGACGTTTTTCATGAGATAATTGCCGGTATTCGTTATAATGGGCTGGGTAAATGGGAAATCAGTTGGTAATTGGTTGAGTACAGAAAAAAGTCTTAAAGGTTCATTTTCGAGAAAAATTCAATCATAATGGCTTGCATAAGTGCCACCCTGACTTTCTATTCAGTTTTTTTCAATTCTTGCATACCTTATTTTTTAAAAATCATTCGAATTTTCGAAGGAAGCTTTCTTAGATTTTCTTAAAATACTGAAAAAATAAATCTTTTAGTTGGTAGAAGCTTGAAAATTACAATTTTCGCCCTGCAAATTTTTTGAAGATTCGAGGTGTGTAACATTTCAATATTCTCTCAGGCTTCCTTGATTTTCCTATAACTAACTGAAATCTGACTCATTTCTCTGGTAGTAACACCGGAAATTGGGCGTCGAATGTGAGGCGAACAGGACGAGAGGTCAAGAAATGAAGAGGAGGGGCCATGTGGCGAGACATGATCTCTATCGGAAGTCACTTGCCTCTTTTGATGCCAAGATCTTCTTTATTTTCCTTCATTTTATTATTTCAATGCTGAGATTCTAGTAGATTTGGATTGTGGGAGGGTTCTGGATTATAAAAAAAAATGAGCTTGAAACTTTTTTTTCTTTGAAGCCTCAACATTTGATCCTGAATCCTTTTCTCATCAGAATTTCGAAGATTTGAGCTCTTTCGGCATGAATTTTGTTGGTGGGATCGATCTTGTGAGCTTTTTGACGTTTTAAAGGAGACTTATCAACTGAGCGGCCTTTCATAATTTCCAAAGTCTCAATTTTGATTTGACCTGAACTTTCTGCGAGGTCAAAAACCTAGCAGGAGATCGAGTCAGAGATTTTGACCTAAGAAAATTTTTTTCTACGGTTCCTTTTATTTTTTATACTCCATAAACTTTCTTTCACTAGAGATTCGAGTTTTTCCGATGTATTTTCATTTTTCAACACTACCTGACTTTTTTGAAAGTTCAATTTTCTCTAAGCGGAGTCGAACGTGCGGCTCTCTGAGCCTAAGAAAAGAGTCTTACTAACTGATCCATGTATCCTTTCATCTTTCTGATACATTAATCGGTTCTAATCAGACATTGAACCCTTGTCTATGAATGATTTACAATCGTTCCGTTAACTCTCTGACGTTTACAGACCTCGTCAGCTGTTAGCAACACGGAACTCGCCCGACTCCAGGTCTCCTTGCGCAATCTACAGCTCCAGGTTTCTTCGAATCATTGGAAGAAGATTATAAAAGCATAATTCCAGGAGGACCTCCTCAAGCAGGACAACAACGAGTTAAGACAGAAGCTCGAGCTTGCAGAGAAATCTCGAGTTACCGCCAAAAAAGACGCCGTTGGTTTTTTGATTTTCTCAGGGTTTTTATGTGGTCTTTGAGGTTTCAGACTAGAATTCGTAAATTTCAAGAACAACCCTTTGAATATTTTTATGAGGAAAAAAAATAGAAGTTCTAGTAAAGCCTGACTTTTAGTCTTACATACATTGTGTAGGAATTTTTTATAATCTTTATCAATGTTGGTCTCTTTTGAAGGACTCCCTGACGTCTATGCACCAGGCGCTTCTGGCCGACCACGACCGCCTTCAGAATCTTCACGACCTTCTGACCCACGACTACGAAAACGCCAAACGCGAAAACGTCGACATGAAGACCAAACTGCGGCAGCATTTTAGGGTTCATTTTTGATATTTACAGTGAAAACCAAGAAGCAAGATTCAAAAAGTTGAGGGAAGATTAGAAACAAATTTTGAGTCTTTTTTTCATTTGATGAGGCATTTCTCGTTTGGGATATTTACCGTTATCTGTTATTTGCACTGTAAGAAGGGCGCTAATTGCATTGGTTGGATCCTTTTTATGGGGTGTGAAGTGCTGCGCGCGTGTTAGCAGTTGTTAGAATCGTACGGTAGAGGAACTCTTTACGTTTGATTTTGTAGAAGTATTGGGATAATGAGCTCTGATTTTCAATCTTACCATGATGAAAAATGAAAAAGTTTCAGTACATTGCAGATTTTGATACGTTGGCCTCTTTTTTGAGTTATAGGAACTTTGAAGGTTTTAGGTTAAATTATAAACTGAGAGATTCTTCAGCAGAGCATAGATGAAGACTTTTTTTGAATAAAAAGTCAAAACTAAGAATTTTTTCCAGTGAAAAAAGTACCAAAAGTAATTACAAAAAGTTGAACATTTTTTGAATTTCTAACGCTCATTTTTAGGTGGTATGAAAAAAACACCAGCGAAAATTCAAACGGCGACTTTTCCGATTTTTTCATTTCGCTAGGGAACTTTCCGACGGCCACCTTTCCGACGAAACTTTTTCCGACTTTTTTTCCCTTTGTGCTTTTCGGTTTATAAAAAAATTTATATAGGAAGATGTAAAACGAAGAGTTTATCGAGAAAAAAAGTCGGAAAAAAATTTCGTCGGAAAGGTGGCCGTCGGAAAGTTCCCTAGCGATATGAAAAAATCGGAAAAGTCGCCGTTTGAATTTTCGCGGGTGTTTTTTTCATACCACCCATTTTTACCTCACAATGTCATCAGAAAATAATTCATCTCTTCCCACTTTTTATGAAACAAATCGTATCAGAATTTTTGAAAAACCGCATTCTTCCCTACGGCTCTTTTACAACGTTTATTAGCGATTTCAAACGTCTCGAGACACGTGTTTTGCAGTGTCGTTTTTCTTACTCTTTTCGTTCGTTCTTTCTGATTTCCTCGGGCCCTCTTCTTCTCAGTTTTCACGTTTCGAAAACGAAGAAACAACTTTTTTCGAGGTATTAGGTTTCACCATGAGGCGTTTTGCAAAATAGAAACACCCAATAATAAGAATGGAAATTAGCGTTTACGACAACGATGTAGCCGCGAATTTTCAGTCGATGGCCTCGCCGATGCTGAACAATTCGTCGTCGAGGGAGCTGGACGAGCTCAGGCTGCAGTTGGCTCAGGTCAGGATCGCTTCTGATTTTGTTGATTTTTTGGAATAGTTGATAATTAGAAAATTTGGAATTTTCGATTTTTTCTTACTGATGATTTTTTTTTCTGTTGTTTCAGTTTATTTTTTCAGATTTGCATATATGATTTTTCGTGAAAACTTTGAAAACTGGTTTTTTTTTCTTTATTTTTTTTTTTTCGAAGACTTCACTTTGAGCTATAAGCGAAGAAACATTTGATTTTTCATTTTTTTTTTTTTTTCTGTAAAAAAGCTCCTTTTTTCAGTGATGAACCTCTAAAGACTTCACTTTGTGTCAGAATTGCTAAAATTCCCAATTTTTTCTGTGAAAACTTCAAAAACTGGTTTATTTCTTCTCAAAACTTCAATTTCTAGGGACTAGAAAATGATAATTCACTCACTTTAAAAATGCTTTTTTTCAGGAAAGAACCTCCAAGGACAAGCAACTTAGAGCTTATGCTGATTTGCACAATGAGCATGGAGCTACGAGGAGGCAATTGGAGAGCTTGCGGTCTGTATTTTTGCTCATTTTTCAGAACTAGGAGGTCTTTTTTCCACGAAAAGTTGATATTTAAAATGCTGAAATTTGTGTTTTGAAAGCTTGAAATCAATATTTTATAGCCTAATCTCTCTTTTTCATCTTGATTTTTAGAAAATCGATTTTTGAAGGGCTAGAACTCTTCTCTGGCTTTCAGAGATTAATTTTTGATAGGCAAAAACTTAAAACAATTTTTTTTCTTCTAAATTTTGGTGAGTTTCAGTGTCAAGTTCAAATAATCAATTTTTTATTTGGAATAGCTGAGTATAATTGAGTTGTATATTTCAGATCGGAAAATGAGCACTTGGCGAGGAATCGCGACGCTCTCACATCGGAACTTCGGAGAATGAGATCAACTGAACCTTCCCACGAGTGGAGCGCCGCCATGAACGATCTCAATCACCAACTCCAGGCCAAAGATTTGGAAATCGCCAAGTTGAACAATAAGATCGAGGTAGTCACTTGATTTTAAGGGATTTACAAGGAAGGTCCTTTTTTTGCGGTTTGATCACAACTCTAAGAAAAAAACTGTCGTAAAAATTTGAACGAAAAATCTTATAAAAAGATCATTTTTTTACAACTCCACCCAATGACCATTCCAATGACGAAACTTGACGGAAAAGCCATGTGCATCAAACTCTAACCTGTAAAAATCCAACTTTCTTCGAAATTCTTCGAAGACATCGATCATAGCCGATACCTGCGCGAAACTTTATTTTTTTTTGTGGTATGAGTTTTGAAATTTGCCAAGTAACGGTTTCAAGCCTGACGCGACTATGAACGATCTATATTCAGACCACTCAAGAGTTTTGAAGCAAATCTTAAGATAACTCCAAACCTCCTGTGTGATATTAAAAAAATACATTTTTCAGATGCTGACCCAGTTGAATAAGACCTACGACGAGGAGAACAAAAACCTGTCGAGGCAAATCGAGATGCTTCTCACTCAGAATAAAGAACTCTTGAACCGAGCTCTCAATGATAAGGACCAGTACCACCAGGAGCAGAAGGATTTCCAGGTACAAACTTGAATTATGAGTTTCGAGAGGCCATGAGATGACATAGAATTTGCTCAATATTTCGCGTTTTTGCTGTTTAAAGTCGTAATGTTTATCCAATGTCGGCATCCGACCTTTAGCGGTCATGCTTTAACGTATTTTTAGGTCCCACGACGCGTTGAACCATCCTCAGGCGCATGAATATTTTCAGAAATTCCAATAATATAACTTCTCAGGAACGACTATCGGCCCTCCGAAGGCACAAGGAGAAGCTCGAGGAGAAGATTATGGATCAGTACCGATCGATGGAAAATAAGAAGACGAGTGACAGGAAGCAGCCTTTGGTGAAGAGAGCCGCCAAGGCCTTGATTAGCAGGGTACGCGCAAATTTAGAGAAACGAATACTGGAAAAACGGCCTTGCTATAGTTCCTTCATTTTACAAAAAAACGTTCTGCGTCTTGGAATTTTGAGCATATTTTTGAAAACTTATTTTTATTGAGTCCTTCTCTAGAGTCTTGTAGAGCCCTTCTTCTTATAAAGAGGTTCTCTCAAGACTGATTTTTGCAGAGAAGAGCGACGTCGAACGGCGGCTCGACGACGGAGGACAGCAGCGCCTACTCGGCCGACGAAGGCGGCTCGCCTCCCCTGTTCAACGGTAAATCACGGCCAGAAATCTCGGCGCCCATCCCGCTGTCGGTGATTCCCGAGAACTGCCCGCTCCACGGCAAGCTCTGGGACATTCACCAGCAGGCCGAGCAAATCAAGCAGAAAAGCGCCTCGCTGCGCCTTCCGATCCTCAAAAAACGGGCCAGCGTCGTGTTCCGCGACGATCATGGCTCAGCCTTCAACGGCGCCTACAACAATCCAAACGTCCGCAAAATGATTGACATGAACACGAGCGTCTATGACAACTCCGAGTGATTGTCCTTTTTTCCGTGTTTTGAAACGTTTTGAAATGATTCGCGAGGTCGTGGGAACCTATGAGAGCTTCTGCCGAATTTAGTAAATTTTTTGAAAAGTAATTTTAGTAATACTTCTCGTTCTCTTTCTGTTGGAAGGATGGGAACTTTTGCTCTGGTTTTTCTTCGGACTTAGGTGACTCGTAAATTTTTTCTGAGGCTATGTGAACCTTTAGAGGTTAGCCTTTTTTGGGAAAAAAGACTTCTGATTGAAAGTTTGTGTTTAGCTTTACTCTTGGAAACTGAAAAATATAATCTTTAGGCCCTAAGAGTCAAAATTTTCTCTTAAATAACAGTTCCAAGTAGAAAATTCCTTTTCAAAAAGTTGCTTGCCAGTTTTTAGAAAATTTTTCAAGTTTAGAAGTTTTTGTATAGTCGAATCGCTGCGACTTGAGACTTTTTCGTTGCTGAAGAATGGCTTCAAGATGGTTATTGCGACCGACTTGAAGCGGTTCGCGCTTAAAAAAGCCTTGCTAAACATGATCTGCAAAACATAGAGCCATTCTACATGCGACCAGTGGGGTCTACAGTCGTAGCAAATCAAAATAATATCAAGAAAAAACCTCCGCCGCTTGCTTCAATCAATGTGATCTTTGTATAGAAAGAAAAAATATTGAATCCCTTTTTTTTCTCTGATTGCTCCAAAATCGATGAAATGACGGGTGACATCATTCTGTGTTATGAATTTCAGTGTAAAATTATGTTATTTGTCTGTACAGCATGACTATTTTATGTTTTTTGGTAGCATTTTGTGTATTTTCGTACTTGTCCTCATGTCCTGTGTTCCCCTTGTCCTCGTGAAAGTGCTATTAAAATAAAGTGTTTTTTGCTCGTTTTTTTTTTTGTAAATGTGATTTTTCGTTTCTAGTCGTTGTTGCATGTTTTTGTGAAAAGAATGGAATAAAAATAAAGAAAAATGAAAAAAATGGAGAACTGCGACCTTTTTTTCTGCTTATCAAAAGTTCTCTTCAACATTTTTTTGTGTTAGATTTTTCAGTTTATCAAGAGGTTTGACTATTTAAAGATTTTTAAGAGAAAAAGAGTTTTTGATTTCTGCTTCTAAGTAAGAAACCATTGAAAATCGAAAAAAATTATAAAATTTTTCCTTTCTCCATAGGGACAAAATGTTATAGATAATTGTAGTTCCTCATGTTTATGTTCAAAAAAAACGTTTCAATTGAAAAACATGATATTTTTTTAAAGTATGGCTTTACTTTTTCTGTTTTTTTATATGAAAGGACTTCCTCTTGTAAAAAAATAAACTATGATCGAAAAAAAGCTTTTTTTCAGAAATTTTTTTGTTTTTGTATTAAAAAAATCGGTTCCTAAAAAAAAGTAATAGGTGAGGAAAAAAGGAAGGTTTTAATGAGAAGTTGAAAAAAAATTAATTGGTTTCAACATGCTCCTACGAATTTAACTTGAGGACACCATAAAAAAATTATTTTTTTGATAAATATGAAAAAAATTATACGAGTTTTTTTGAAGTCGAAGAAAAAAATGTATAAAACTTTTAAAAAAAATTATGAAACATTAGAAATTCTCTGTTTTTTCTGCCAATTTCTCCCTAAATCTAGAAGGACTACCCAAAAATATTTAAATTTTGAAAAAATTACTTTCCTCAATATTCGTTTCACATCTTCTGTTTTTGTTATCACTTCCGGCGCTATAATTTAGGGTCGGAATCTATAAAGTATCAGTTCAACTGTCAATAATCTAAAAATGCAGCGGTGATGGGCGTTTGAATCTCTTCTGTTAAAATTCCACCTCTACTTCTAAATTTGTAGGAGCAACGGATGACTGCGACGGACTCGCCCCGACTTGCTCCTCTTCGGATGACCATGACCGGAATTCGCCCCGCTATGAGACTATCCCACCTCTCCAAGGTGCTCTTTCCTATCTCTTCCTTTTTTCTCCTTTCGATAATCCTTAACGTTTCCAGAACTAACCTCGACGCGTTACTCGGCGATGCGACAACGCGGAGATCCGATCGGCGGATCCGTGAGGATTGGCACTGGGCCAAGACGGCCTCTGATCCATTCCAGGACCTATGATCATATCATTTTGAATGGTGACTTTTTGGTTAGATTCGTTGCGAGGTTTAAGAAAGGCTTAGAAGTTGTGAAACTTCGGAGTTGAACAATTATTTTGAGGACCATATTATTTTGATTGGAGATCTTTCGGACACACCTTGGATATGTATAAAAAAGTTGAAAAAATTGATTTTAGTGTCCTGATATGGCGGATGATTTTTTGATCCATTTGTGAACAGTTTCAAGAAAATTCGTCGAAACAAGTTTTATTAAAATCAAAATTGGTGCACAACTTCAAAGGACAGATGCAAAAAAGTATTTCTCTCTTTCTTTGTTCTTTATTTTTCTACGCTCTCTTGCTTAAAAGTTTTCTGAGATTTTTTTGATTATAAAACTTAAAAATTTGTCATTGCATATCTTTTTTTCGAATAGAGAAATTCATCATTATTTAGATAGAAAGTGAATTTTTGAGCCCTCTAACTTCACGAGATCGTTAGATTTTCAGAGACATATGATCTCTATTTCTTTGGCGTCTCTGCGATCCCCACGTTCTTTTGTTTTGAATATTCAGAATTATCCGTTTTCCGTAGAAAGTTATTCAGAAAATTTTCTCCATGAAGTTTGGATCTAAAAATTCAAAACTATCTCTGACTCTCCCAAACTCAGTTATCTTTTTCTTTCTCTGACGGCTATTTTGCATTTTGCGGAATCATTTTCTCGAAACGAAGGTCTCAGTCTGCAAAATAGCTCTAAAACAGGAAAACAGTTGGTTTGAACAGCCGCAACATGTTTGTGCACAACTGTTTTTTTAATCTGGAAAGTTTCTCTTTACATGCAAAGAGAAAAAGTTACATAGGATTTATAAAAAAAAGCAAAATTTCTCTGTAAAAAGTTCATGGATTACAAGGTATATATATCTGGAAGGTGAAGCTGTCAGAAGACAATTCAGGAATTGAAAAAAAAAATTAGGCTTTATCGAAAACGAAGCATTTGCAGACGTCAACCCTCTCTTCGACAAGCCTTCGAGCACTCTGCCGCCGAGAGCTCCGGTCAGGAATTCCTCGGTGACGGCGAGCCTCCGATCCCGACCCCCGCCCCCACCATACCAAGCCAAAAATGGCGTGGTGCCAAGGACCCCGCCAAGCTATCAGAATAGAAATCCGCATCCGGTTCGTTAGAAAGAACCAAATTCAAGAAATCATTATTTTTCTTTTCAGTCCCCAATGGACTCGCCGCCCTTGTTCCAGCCAAGATGTTCGTCTACGCCAAAGAGCGGATCGCCGATGAGAGAGATCGAAGAAATCCCCAGGGAGAATGGGGCAAGTGCTGTCATCTCGGATCGGCTGGTCGTGCCGGAAGGCGAGCAAAGAACCTTCATCAGAGAGAAGGTGAGACGAAAAAGAAGGAATTTTGATTTCAGAAAGTTTCCTTTGTTCGTTCTTTACTTTTGATTTTTGTGGTATAAAGAAGTTATAGCTAACTTTATTGACGTTCTAAAGCTTCCAAGCCTTCAGAGCGCGTAAGTCGACGTTTTTCCGACAAGTTTGAAATTTGTAGTAGCCTAGGTCGATATTTCAGAAATGTCGCCATGTTTTAAAAGTCTAAGTGCTTTTTAGCTTTTTTTAAGACGAGAAACCTGGACTATCAGCTTTTTTGAAATCCTTATTCACAATTAAGTAGAGCTCATTAGTTGATTTCAGTACCGCCTTTTCCAGATTTCGAAGGCTGCTTCCTTTTCTGAGCTGATTAAAGCTCAGGCGAAAAAATCTCCTTATCTTGATAATTTCCACGGGTTTTTCCGATGCTTCCACCCAAATGAATTTCTATCAACGTTAGAAAAGTCTAAAAAGCGGTTTTCATGCGTCAAATTCCAGGAAGAACGAGTGGACAAGGCGATGAGCTACTACGAGAACGTCAACAACCCGTCGATGCTCAACGACTCGACGACGAACAACGGAAACGAGAAGGCCAACGAGAGCACTGTTTGGTACGAGTACGGATGCGTCTAATATAATCTTTTCATTCTTTAAAGTCCCCCTTTTTATATTTCAAAGTTGAAATGTACCCTCCCTTCAAAAGTATTATCAAATATCTCCTCTTATCATTTGATTTTACCCGGTTTTTTTTCTTCCTTATCCCAATATATTTCTCAATTCATTGTGGCCTTTCTTATAACCTCATGGAATCTGTTTTTCATTTCAAAAGTTCACTTTTCTAGGAGTTTATTCGTATTTATGACAATCTATATCTTTGAAATACGCCTTTGTTGTCTTTTTTCTTGTGGAGTAAAATTTTTGAATTTTATAATTTTCTTTTCACGCGTGAAATCTCAGTTTTTTTCAGTTACTTGGAGAAAACTCTTTTTAATATTTTTAAAATCGATTTTTTAGGATAAAATACGAGATATGGTATGTATTTTTCATCATTTATCATTTTTGCTTGAGTGACCACTTGATATTTCACTTAAAATCATCAAAGTTGTCACTTAAGGTTTGATTAAAACTAAAACCCATATGGTCCATATTCAGTAATTTTTGACGTTAAAGTAGAAATTGAAATGGAGTAGTTTGTTTTCATAGCTCGTTTTTGGGATCCTTGATTGCTTTATCCCTAGAATGATCACTTGGAGGAGAAACAAAAGTGTTCACAGAAGCCATCCTAAAATTTTCAATTTTAACTTTCCAAACTTCCAGGAGTGTCCACTCGAACAATCGAACCCCTCAAATGGCTTCTCTAGATGACTTTCGGAGGTATCTTCTTTTTTTCAAGTTAATAATTTCATTCAAAAGCTGATATTCTTTATTAAAAAGTTGAAAAAGTCTGATCGAAAAAAGAGAATTTCAGAGCCAAAGACCGTTTCAAACCCACGTGAAATTCGGTCGATAACGTGTTCTTCAAACAAAAAAAAGGGCGAAATCACGGGAAACCAGTTTGAGTCACCTTTTAGTTTTTTATGCTTTTGTTTGTCTGACTTTTGAGAGAGACTAGAATGAAATGATAGCAAAAAAGAGTTCCTTGTTAGAAAATGATAAGCTTTGAAGGGTCGGAAACGGTATTAGAAGAAGATTAAGAAATCGCGAGCTCTGGATTTGCCGGGAAATTCAAACTTTTTTTAGAGTATTTTTGAGAGATATTTGGCTGTAAAAAAATTAGTGAGAAGTTTGAATTCCAAATATGTATATGAAAAAAACATTTCGAAGCTTTTTCACAGGCGAATCGAGAAGGTACCATAGTGTGTCCACAAAGGTACCTCTCAAAATGGATCGTGAAGACCCCATAATGTGTCCATCGTGAGACCTCCGGGATACCTTTTAGCTGTATCTGAGCCATTTCGGAGGTACTTTAGAGTCTCCCTCAAGCCCCTCTCATTTTGCTCTAAATCCTCAGAGGTATCCTCGAGGTACCATCGTGAGAATTCAGACTCTGCGATATACCTCAGAAGGTCTCGCGATACCCTTTCTCGATTCGCATATGTGAGTAATAACCCCCTCAAGAATTGACTATTAAACAATTTTCCATCATGATAAACAATCTCAAAAACGTATTTTACCCTTTACGATTGAAGACGTTTGATTCTCAAAAAATGAATGCGAATTTATTTTTTTCTTACGTGACTGGCTTTTTCTTGTTGCGTTTTTTTTTGATGGTTTTTCTCGATAGAGCACATTAACTTGATCTCCAGTTCTAAAATCAACTGATTAGCTCAATTTTTTTTTTGAGCACCAATGACCGTTCTTGAAGCTTTTTTTTTTAAAGAAAATACCGGGAGAAATTCAATTTTCGAAGTTTTTTTCTTCAACAGGCAAGGGGTTTGAGAGCATAAGAAGAAGAAGAAAAGTTATAGCGTAGCAGTTTCAATAATGAAACGGAAGAAAATAAAGGAATCAGTATGTTTGATAGGTTTTAAAATTTGCCTCTTTCGTGAATTTTTGCTTTGTTCCGAGAACCTCATATATTGTAATGAACACGCCATAAAACAATGACAAAATATCACGGAACTTAGGTATTCTAGAAATAATTGACAGAGCTTTCGATCAAAAATAAGCCCATAGTTCCTTCCTACTTGAAAGAAAGAAATTAGGCGGTTTAAGGAAAGGAAGAAGATTACAATACTCGAGTGGGCGGAGCTTCCCGTGTAACCGAAATAAGCCCGTGCGGTTTCTTCCGCTCTCTTTCTCTCTCGTTTCAACTTCTTGGAACCTGATTGATCAAGTCAATCAGGTTTTCCTTCCTTTCGCAATCCTCAAGAAAGAGAGAAATAAAGAAAAGGGCGATTTCGAAAGATCGAACTACAAAAATAAGTCATTCCTTCCTGTTTTCGTCTGGAGAGATCGCAATAACCTTTGCTGATAGTAGCCTTTCGACTTTTGTTGACGGAAAGGAAGCAAACGGGGCTGGAACTCGTATAAATACAGACCCCGAGGAGGTCCCAAGACAGGCCAATCGGCAGCCTTTGCTTGGCTTTTCAAGGCCTTTTCTCAACTTTTTTCTTCAACATTTATTTTAAAATTTTTGTAAGACTTTTATTACTCAAATTTCTCGAAAAGTTCAGAGAAGCTTCTGTGATTTCTCCGTGGAATAGGAAAAAGAGTTATAAATAAAGACATAAAAGGTCTTCAAACGGGGCCTTTTTTTCAGTTCGGCCGACTTTTTTTGGAAGCTTCTCATCTTTCACAAAACATTAAAATAGCAGATTAGTTGCCTTTTTTTAAATTTATGAGACTCACAGAAGCATTTCTTTGATTTTTCAAAATAACCACTCCAAGTAACTATATTGATTGATCAAAAAAACTCTTTTTGATCCGTATTTAGAGCCCTCAGCACTGAAGGACTTCTTACAAGCCCCTTTTGTATTTTTTTTCAAAACAAAAAGACCCAAAATCTGAGATCAACAATTCTAAAAATAACATTTGACCACCACGTGTGCCACGAAAGCGAACGGCTCGTTTTCTCTGGCGCTCTCTCATTCTCACCACAGAACGAGAGCAACCAACAAAAGACAGGAAGAAAAAAAAATCCATAGCTACACGTATTTTTGCTCCGCCTCCTTCCCGTTTCAATTCCTTCCGTTCCATTCACTTCTGTGCCTTTCTTCGAATCGGATTCGAGCCATGGAGCCTTCAGAAATGCTCTCCAACGACAACAGTACGTTCCTGTTCACCTCAGAGTCCGTTTCGGAAGGACATCCGGATAAGATGTGCGATCAGGTTCGTTTTTCCATCGTTGCTTCGGAAAATCCAGGTCTTCCGGTACATAATTGTTTTTTAATGGACATCAGACCTTAATTCTGATGATAAGAAACCTCGAACTTGATCTAATACTGAGAGATGTAGGATGATCTCACTTGAATAAACAGTGAACTTTGAAGTTTTCCACCTCAAAATGGACAGTTTCATTACACATTACATGAAATTTGATTGAAAAAAACCTGGAAAACCATTGAATTCCGATTTGAAGATCTCCGACGCGATTCTCGACGCCTTCATTGCCCAAGATCCTCATGCCAAAGTCGCTTGTGGTAATTCAGGAATTCCGAAAAGGAAAAACGAATTTCATTCTTCAGAAACGGCCACCAAGACGGGAATGATCATGCTCTTCGGAGAAATCAACTCGAGAGCCAACGTCGACTATCAAACTGTCGTCCGGAATGTCGTCAAGAAGATTGGATACGACGATTCGAGCAAAGGTGAGGAATTTTTCGGAAGGGAAGGGAGATTGGGAACAGTTTTCTGGAGGTCTTCTGAAAGGAAATTTTAGAACTTTATTCGAGAGAAGACCTCGCAACAGCAGAAATTACTCGTAGAGAGCTAAGAAACGGTTCAGAATTTCTCAAAAAATGGATTAGGTACTGCTTGAAAAAAAAAACTTGAATAAAGCTCAAAATGAGCCAAAAAATGCTCTGAAATGGCTGGAAGAAGCTCAAAAAACATGGAAATTCGAACTCTCGTAAATCAATTTTTGTTTCGAATCGAGCTTTTTGAATCGAGTATCGAGCAATTCTGCTTCCCTATAAGTTTGTCAAAATCTTGCCCACAAAAAAACGATAGTTCTTCTTGTTTTGCTCAGAACTAGTCAATCTGATGCAACTTTTGAAATTTTCTTTTTTTCTCTTTTTCGGATCATAAGTTCAAATAGAGAAAAGAAAAAAACGAATGGGAACGAAGAAACAAAAAAGATATTTTTTCCCATCTGAGCACACAATAGTCTCTGGCCTAACATGAGGAAATCTGATGCAATCTCGAAAGAATGTTTTTTTTTTTTGTTTTGTTTTACTCTAGTCATAAGTTCAAACAGAGTCTAGGGTGGACAATAAAGGGATAGACAACTTGGAAAGACTTGAACTAGGAACCATGCAGCTCATAGGGAAAGGGTCTGAAGTTCAGCCAAGAAGTCAATAAATTATTACTTGTTTACATCATATTTTATTGATTTCGAAACTAACAAACACGTTTGAACCAGTCACCTTAAGGACATTAGGAAAGATCCTTTCCAGCTGAGCCATGTTTGATATAGATAAATTTATAGAAATGTTAACCTTGCACAATATCTACCGCATTAACGTTAGAAAGACTGAACCAGCGACCTCTCACACGTGTCAGAAGTTAGGTATGAGCCTTACCCATTGAGAATGTATGTTACTGTACTGAACGCAAAACTTGAAATGACTTGCCCACATAAGACTTGACTTCAAAAAATTCTGGAGGGTTCAAATCAGAACTTTGGACGTTGAAAAAGCCTTACCAACCAAACCACGTCATAACTAAAAAAAAGTCTGCAGGATTCGACTACAAGACGTGCAGTGTGATGGTGTCGCTGGAACAGCAGTCGCCGGAAATCGCGGCCGGAGTCCACGAGCAGAAGTCGGACGACGACGTCGGGGCCGGAGACCAGGGTCTGATGTTCGGTTACGCGACCGACGAGACCGAGGAAGCGATTCCTCTGACCTTGCAAATCTCCCATCAACTCAACGCCAAGCTTCACGAGCTCCGCAGGAATGGCAAGCTCGCATGGGCTCGCCCCGACTCCAAGACTCAGGTGAGCACTGTCTTTGAAGCTGACGCACTATCCTTGAAGCTGAAGCACTATCCTTGAAGCTGTGAAAGAGAAAAGGAAGTCATCGGGTCTTGAGATGAGCTGCTGTGCTTTTGAACACTCCTCCTCTGGCTTGGTTCTAGAAAGTCTAATGAATTTAGAGAGAAAATGAAAAAATTAATACCTTGATCAAAAATATACGTATCAAAAATCAATCAGAATGATGATTATTTTCAGGTGACGGTAGAGTACAAGTTCGAGAACGGCGCGTGTGTTCCGAAACGCGTCCACACGATCGTCATCTCGACGCAGCACTCGCCCGACGTCACCCTGGAAGACGTGCGGAAGGACCTCGTCGAGAAGGTTGTCAAGGCGGTCGTCCCGGCGAATCTCCTCGACGCCAACACCGTCTACCACCTCAACCCCTGCGGATCTTTCATCGTCGGCGGTCCGATGGGCGACGCCGGCTTGACCGGCAGGAAGATCATCGTCGACACGTACGGCGGCTGGGGAGCCCACGGCGGCGGCGCCTTCTCCGGAAAGGACCCGACCAAGGTGGACCGATCTGCGGCCTACGCCGCCAGATGGGTCGCCAAGTCCCTGGTCAAGGCCGGGATCTGTCGTCGGTGCCTCGTCCAAGTCGCCTACGCGATCGGCGTCTCTCGGCCTCTGTCCATCCTTGTCTTCTCCTTCGGCACGTCTTCTCTCAACGAACAGGAGCTTCTCCAGATCGTCAACGACAACTTCGATCTCCGTCCCGGCAAGATCATCAAGTGAGTTGAGAAGAAGAGTTGAGACTAGCTGGTGAGAAATAACTTGAAAAATAATTTTCTTTCGGAAATGTATGGTTGAGAAAGAAATTCAGAAAAAACACTCGAATTTGACCTTTCACAAATTTTGAAGGAATTTTAATTTTCTCACAATTTTTCTATGAAAAAGGTTGTAACTTGCAAGTTTTTAAAAAGTTACTTTCATAACCTCGAAATTAAACTTTCAAATTGAGGGAGCTCGACCTGAAACGACCAATCTACGAGCAAACGGCCGAAAATGGTCACTTTGGCCACAAGAAATTCCCGTGGGAGCAGCCGAAATCATTGAAAATCGCTCCAGAAATCCTGGCCAAGGCCAGAAACGGGCCGAAAAAAATCATGTCATCGGTTCAATGGCTCACTAGTTTTTTTGTTAAATAGATTTTTTTATATGGTATTGCACGGTATCATTTATTTTTCAATTTATGGGTAATAAACTATTCCGAAAAGAATGTTTTTCAGCTGAATAGTATTCATAATTTATCGCGATGTCTATCTTGATTTTGAAATTTTCTAGAGTTTGCAAAACGAATTCGAGTTGGTTGCTAATACAGGCAATTTACAATTCACTCCTCCTCCTCTTGAAGTTTCTTCAGCTCTTCAATCACATGTTTCTGGATGCTGGCGAGCTGCTTCATTGCCTCCGGCGACAAGTTTCCATCCTCGTCCGTTTGTGAACGTCTTGAAGTCGGTGCCAAGCCCGCACCAGGATCCGTTTTCGAGCCGCGGCCTTGTCGAAATAACTGTAACTCGCAAGATAAGATATTTTTAACTAGGGAACTTTTTTTACCCCCCGGTTGAACTTTTGCTGAAACTTTGCTAAAGTGTCCTTTAGGACCTTCTGATTCTAGAACAAGAAGAAAATTTCTCGCAATAGATCTCGTTTTCGAGTTAGGACACTTTAAAAACCGGAAATAGCGCTTTTTTGGCCTAATTTGCGTATTTTGCACACTTTGAAGCTCCATAACTCGGAAACAAGATCTATTGCGAGAAATTTTCTTCCTGTTCTGCAATCAGGACGTCCTGAAGTACACTTAAGCAAAGTGTCAGCAAAAGTTCAACCGGGGGGTAAAAAACGTTCCCTGGTAAGATAACTTTCTAGTATCAATCGATAGAGGAGATCAAGGAGGTCAAGAAAAACTTGGTTACTAAGACCAGGTTTTTTGAACCTCTGACGTCATTTCCTATCGATTGATGTGACAATCTCGAAAACTTTGATTTTCGGGAAAATCGAAAAAAGTACAATCTACAACCCCTTAGGATTTTTTCGAGCTTCTGAGGTCATGAAAGCCGATCCGGACGAAATTTATATCAATCGATAGATCTCGACGAAAAAATAAGCGGAGACCAGGTTTGACCTCCGTAGGTCAACTAGGAGCCAAGTTATAGGCGATCAAACTCTGAGATCAAAAATTTCAAAATTGGTCAAATCTGGTATCAATCGATAGGGGGAATCAACGAGGTCAAGGAAAACTAGGTTTCTGAGTTCCTAAGTTCCTAGAAGTCGAGTTATTATTAATAAAAAACTTTGAAAAATCATATCTTTACTTCTAGAAGGCTAGGGACTTTCCGACCTGGTTTTTTGGACCTCTGACGTCATTTCCTATCGATTGATGTGACAATCTCGAAAACTTTGATTTTCGGGAAAATCGAAAAAAGTACAGTCTAACCCCTTAAGATTTTTTCAAGCTTCCGAGGTCATGGAAGCCGATCCGGACGAAATGTATATCAATCGATAGATCTCGACGAAAAAATAACCGGAGACCAGATTTGACCTCCGTAGGTCAACTAGGAGCCAAGTTATAGGCGATCAAACTCTGAGATCAAAAATTTCAAAATTGGTCAAATCTGGTATCAATCGATAGGGGGAATCAACGAGGCCAAGAAAAACTTGGTTACTAAGTTCTTATGACCCTAGAAATCGAGATAAGATTAATGAAAAACTTTGAAAAGTCATATCTTTACTTCTAGAAGGCTATGGACTTTCCGACCAGGTTTTTTGAACCTCTGACGTCATTTCCTATCGATTGATGTGACAATCTCGAAAACTTTGATTTTCGGGAAAATCGAAAAAAGTACAATCTACAACCCCTTAGGATTTTTTCGAGCTTCTGAGGTCATGAAAGCCGATCCGGACGAAATTTATATCAATCGATAGATCTCGACGAAAAAATAACCGGAGACCAGATTTGACCTCCGTAGGTCAACTAGGAGCCAAGTTATAGGCGATCAAACTCTGAGATCAAAAATTTCAAAATAGGTCAAATCTGGTATTAATCGATAGAGGAGATCAAGGAGGTCAAGAAAAACTTGGTTACTAAGTTCATATGACCCTAGAAATCGAGATATGATTTTTCGAAAAGTCCTCGAACTTACACGTGTTAGGTAAATCATAACTTTTTTTTGGTATGTACTGAAAAAGTTTCTCAAAATGCTTTACCTATGGATAGATATAAACTCGCTTAAAAAAAACTCATAGTTCTCTAGATATGCGGGTACGCACCGGCCTACCTTAACCCGGCTACATTAACAGGAAATGGCTTAAAAAGTTGGATCCGCATTTCTGAAGTTTCATCCAAATCAGAAAAAAAAGTTTCCTGTTTCCGTTGTTTTGGAGAATTACAGAAAATGTGTGTTAAACATTTTGAAGTGAATTTCTCAACAGGTAACTATTCCGAACACGGTCGAGGAGGTCATCAAGTACAATTTTTTCACTTATGTGTTCTTGATATTTTTTAAACGGGTGGACTCTTGCTAACTTTACAATCTTTCCAAAAAGGTTTAGAAAGAATTCGCGTATCTTTATGCTAGCTGTAAATTACAGTAGTGCGCCAAAAAATCGCGCCTGTCATACCAAGAAGACACTTTTGCGCCTAGGCGAGAACGAGGTGTGAGTTGTAAATTTTGTCTTTTCATGATCAGTGCAGTGACCTCGGGACCATGTACAACTTTCACATTTTAATGACCCATTTAGAGTTTTCAACTAAAAAACCAACACGAAGCCACTCCTTTTTTCGCTTGAAAATCTATATTCTTTTCTAGAAATTTCTTTCAAGTGCTAAAAAATGTATTCAACTTTTACTCAGAAAAACGATATACCATGATTGTTCGGCTTGAACTTGGGTAGCGAGCGACTTGGCGTGATCAACGACGGAATCGGGAAAAAGTCGACATTTCAACGTTTTCGAATCCTGAGAATTTCATTTGGAAGAACTATAATTTTTTTAAATCAAGCGAGGACCGCTTCAAACAAATTACTTTTCTTTTTTTTGAAAATTGCATTGAAATCTTTATATCTACTTTTACTTTATTGAGATTTCGATGAAGCTGTCAAAAGAGTGAAAAAAAACGCCTCAAACCAGCTAATCCCAAATTTTGAAATGAAAGTTATTCAATGTTTTCTTTTTTGATAAGATCCATCAAAAATATAATTTTCTCAGTTTTTCATAATTTCGATCACCTCCTTCATTTCAAACCCCAAGGAAAATCGTGGTTTCAGCAGTTTTTTCAATTATCAATTATTCTTTTCTTTTTGAAACATGATTCCTTTAAAATTGTCCACAGATTATGTTCTTCCGAGTATAACTTTGTAAGATCGATTAAAAAAAAATAGAGCAACTAAGACTCCGCCCACAGCCATAAAAGATTTTTGTAAGGGGGCGGACTCGGACTCGGACTCGACGAGCTCATTCACTTAACCGTCTTGCTGTTCTCTAGTCGGTCTTCTACGCCATGCCTCTGACTACTCCTTCTCTACCAGCTCCCACTGAATGGGAAACCTACGAGCACATTCTCTTCAAGGAAGCTGTTGAATCCATCTACCGCGATCCCTATACTTTGACCAGATTGCGAGAAACCAGTATGTTGATTTACTTTTATTCCAAACTAATTTTATAGAAAACATGAAGTGATTCCAACCTTTTTATAGCTCCTAGTTGTGAGAAGGATTTTTGACACTGAAACATTTAGTTAATAAATACTTTTGTTCTCAGAGGTGCAGGTAACATTGATTAGCATTTTTTCAAAAAATTCCATCTTTTGAAAATTGCTGACAAGATAGCACTGAGTTTAGGTTATTGATTGAACTTAGACTAAAAAAAATTCGTTACATGTCAATTCTGAAGTATGACTTTGCATTCCCAAAGGATTATAAATTTTCTCTCGAATTTCTTTGTCCGATTTTCGTATTTCAAAAATTCTTCATTACAGTGACGAAGGCCCAGCGCCAGATGTTCGAAAACTTGGTGTTTTCGTTTGAAGAGAAAACTTTCTCAAACGGTAAGTCTAATTTTTATTCGAAAGATCGCCTTTTTGTTCTGTAAAGAAATCGCTATACTTTCAGATCTAATGGACCACGTCTTTCATCCGATTCCTCGCCGGAGATCCTCGTCTTATTCTTCGCCGGATCGGAACAATAATCGCAGGCCGAACACTCGTGATCGTCATAACAGCGAAACGACTGTGAGTTTAAAGTTTAGACGCTGCAGAATGTTTGACAAAACGACGAATTTCAGCTCTCAATGGTTGTTCTTTAATTATTAGTATCATCATTTCAGTGTGGCTACTGCAAACAACTCGGCAGGTCGGATTGGAACACCCATAACCGCTTCGACTGCAGACAGCTGCAGAGTCTGCCTCCTTGCCGGATTTGCGGAGCCAAAGACCAGGACAACCACACGGAGACGTGAGTTTTATAGTCTTTTTCATTAACATTATATTGATTTTTACGGTTAGGAGACTCAACTTTGTCTTAGGAAGAAAAAAAAACACCTAGAAATTACTTACCTAAACTAACGTAGACAAGTTTTAAGACCAGTGAAGAAAGGAAAGGACAAGAGCCCTCTGAAGGTTTAATCGAAATACTTTGTTACAGTTACTGCCCGGAACAGATCCCGACCGAGCTGGTCTTGAGAGAGGAATTCGCCAAACTCGGCTTGGACAAGCAGCGGAAGCGCGAAATTCGCGAGCAAATCTCGGAGATCAACCAGCAAATGTACGAAAACTTGCCCAACGCTGGAAGCTACGCCTATAACCGTCTCCAATTCGACAATGAAACTGAATAATTTTTCTTTTGTTAGTCAATCTTTCGAAACTTTGCATTCCTACTTCATTTACAATAGCTTTCTAGATGGTTTTAAGAGTTTCCTAATGCATTTTTCAAAATTCCATCTTTCCAGCCCAAAACTTTCTACCTTTTTTCATAGCTTATTCACAACAACTTTTTATCAAACTTATCAAAAGCAAACAATTTTCCCTTAATTTTCAAGGTTCCCAAATGTCTTCCTTTCTAAAAACTGTTGTTAGTGAGCTATAAATTGAAAATTGTTCCTTTTTCCATCGTTCACATTTACCTTTGTGAGAAATCATCTATCTTCTTCCAAATAATCTACGAGTTTTTCTCTACCGTGTTTTTTCCTTTTTGCCCGCCAACGTTTATCTATAGTATTTTGTTCCCGACCGCACATTGCCCAAAAATTTCAAAGTTTCCATCTGTTTTGTTCCAAATGTATATAATAAATATGTACATAGATTCAAAATGTCTCACCATACAAGAGCCCACGGTAGGGGCCTTTCAGAAGTTTATGCCGGAGCTCAGGGGCGACGGTGTCGTTCAGACCAGACGCGAGGAAGTGGAAGCGAAAAATGTTTCGTTTATGGATATATAATTTGAAGACGATACTTTTCAACTTCCGTATAACGATGTTCGAGAACGGCCAGATCCAAGAAATGCGTTGCGAAAAAAGTGAAGCACTGAAAATTTTCTAGATAGGGGTTATTGAAGAAAGATTCTAGGAAGATTATACTTTGAACGGCTATAAAAAAAATTGAAAAAAACCAAGTTGATAATAAAACCACCTTCAAAGCGATAATTCTCTTCGAAATGACATAAGATATAGCGATTCCTTCTTCGGTGGAGGTGCCTGAAGCAAAAGAATAGGAGAAAGTGGATGTAGATGAGAAGGATTCAGACTTCTGGCAAGCTCGTCGAGAATGACGAGCGAGCTCACGGTGGCGGCGCCTTCTCCGGAAAGGACCCGACCAAGGTGGACCGATCTGCGGTCTACGCCGCCGGATGGGTCGCCAAGTCCTTGGTCAAGGCCGGGATCTGTAGTCCGACAAGAATGTTTTTCAGCTGAATAGTATTCATAATTTATCCAATATCTTCATTTCGAAGTTTTGTGTTTGCGAAACGTTTTCGACAAAAAAAAAATACGATTCAAAAGAATTTGCGCTTTTCTATAACAGTGGTTCATCGGGAGAAGTGAAACGCTTTGGCTATTGCCTAGAGATTATCGGAAAAATTAGGTTGACTTTATCAAAAAAGCAAGAAAAAAAAATCAACTCTCTCCTCAGAAGAACTGGCATTGAAAGTCAGTGCAAAAAGTGATATCAACGCTTTTTTGAGCTCAAAGATACAGTTTTATCTTCTTGCCAAGAAAAAAACCGTGGATTTTGAAATCCATGAGCTCTTGTTCTCCTACCTCTGAAAACATTTTTTCCCAGTTTTGTGAACCCAGCTCTGCGGACGCATCTAAAGCGAGAGGTGGGCCGAAAATAGACCAAAGAAATGTCCAGCTACTTCAAAGGCGATCTCGCCGCCAGTCAGACGTTTCTCAGCTCGTTCAAGGTTTTTCCCTTGAAGCATCTGCATTTTGAGTAAACGATTTCTAGGTGCGCAAGGAGCTGAGGATCACGGACAATCTCATCAGAATCTTCATCGGCTTTGAAAAACTGGACGACTTGGTCGCCGATCTCAACCAAGCGCTCAAGCTCGCCATCTCCCAACGTTTTTGTCTGAGAACCGAAAGAAACTAAATTCATCGATGTCTTTTTTCTGTACACTGTTAGAGGTGCAGTGTCACCATTTTTCTATTCTATTTCTTTTGTCTATTCGATTTACGTGATTTTGGATAAAAGCCGCTTTCGCTTGGCACTTTTGAACTGCTAATCTCTTTCTTTAGAATCATAATAAAGAAAATAAATATGAATTTATGGAAAATTTTGAATTAGAGTTGGAAAACATCAAGAAAAAATTAAAGTTTGAAAACTTTTAAACATAATCTCAAAGGGTGCTTCTTACAGGATATCGGACATTTGACATGGTTTCTATAACAGGCAATTTACAATTCACTCCTCCTCCTCTTGAAGTTTCTTCAGCTCTTCAATCACATGTTTCTGGATGCTGGCGAGCTGCTTCATTGCCTCCGGCGACAAGTTTCCATCCTCGTCCGCCGTTTTGTGAACGTCTTGAAGTCGGTGCCAAGCCCGCACCAGGATCCGTTTTCGAGCCGCGGCCTTGTCGAAATAACTGTAACTCGCAAGATAAGGTACGTGAAAGAAAGGTTTACGAAGCTTCATTAATATTGAGGGATCAATACATTTGATCTATCAAGTTCTTCAAAGATTGGTTTGCGAACTCTAGTGCATTACACGTATTGCGGATGAGTGCCAATTTTAAATGGAGCTTTTTGAATTGAGGCCTACACTCAGAAGTTCAACCGGGCATTCAAATTTTCTTTGAAAATTTAAAGGATACAAAAAGAGTTGAGCATTTTAATTTTTTAACAGAGAATTGTTCTAAACACGACTTGAGAAAATTGTGATGCTAAAATTCTTCAATTACGGATCCTTTTTTTTTTAAACGGGTGGACTCTTGCTAACTTTACAATCTTTCCAAAAAGTTTTAGAAAAAATTCGCTTATCTTTATGCTAGCTGTAAATTACAGTAGTGCGTCAAAAAATCGCGCCTGTCATACCAAGAAGACACTTTTCCGCCTAGGCGAGAACGAGGTGTGAGTTGTAAATTTTGTCTTTTCATGATCAGCGCAGTGACCTCGGAACCATATGACACAAAAATAACAACTTTCTCATTTTTTTCATTCTGATTTTTGGAATTTTCAACTAAAAAAATAAAAACTAAACTGAGCCCCTCTTTTTTTGTTTGAAAAAATATATTTTTTTCTAGAATTTTTCTTTCAAGTGCTAAAAAAATGTATTCAACTTTACTAAAAAAACTATATACCAAGATTTTTTTCCGCTTGAATTTGGGTAGCGAGTGACTTGGCGTGATCAACCACGGAATCGGGAAAAGTAGACATTTCAACGATTTCAAATCCTGAAAAATTTTTACTTGGAAAAAAATTATAATTTTTCAAAAATCAAACGAGGTCCGCTTCAAAAATAATAATATATATTTAATTTTTTTAATTGCACTGAGATCTCTATATCTAATTTTTACTTTTATTGAGATTTCGATGAAGCTGTCAAAAGAGTGAATAAAAAAACGCCTCAAACCAGCTAATCCCAAATTTTTGAAATGAAAGTTATTCAATGTTTTTCTTTTTTTGACAATAACCATTAAAAAAAATATAATTTTTCTCAGTTTTTTTCATAATTTCGCTCACTTCCTTTATTTCAAACCCCAAGGAAAATCGTGGTTTCAGCAGTTTTTATCTCAATTATCAATTATTCTTTTCTTTTTGAAACATGATTCCTTTAAAATTGTCCACAGATTATGTTCTTCTGAGTAGAACTTTGTAAGATCGATAAAAAAAAAATAGAGCAACTAAGACTCCGCCCACAACCATAAAAGATTTTTGTAAGGGGGCGGACTCGGACTCGGACTCGACGAGCTCATTCACTTAACCGTCTTGCTGTTCTCTAGTCGGTCTTCTACGCCATGCCTCTGACTACTCCTTCTCTACCAGCTCCCACTGAATGGGAAACCTACGAGCAAATTCTCTTCAAGGAAGCTGTTGAATCCATCTACCGCGATCCCTATACTTTGACCAGATTGCGAGCAACCAGTATGTTGATTTACTTTCTTCCAAACTCATTTTTTAGAAAAAATTAAGTGATTTCAACCTTTTTATGGTTTTTAGTTGTTAAAAGAACTTTTTTTTACATGCTCAAGGGAATATATTTTTTTCTCTCAAATTTCTTTTTCTGATTTTCGTATTTCAAAAATTCTTCATTACAGTGACGAAGGCGCAGCGCCAGATGTTTGACAACTTGGTGTTTTCGTTTGAAGAGCAATCTTTCTCAAATGGTAAGTCTATTTTTATTCTAAAGTTCGCCTTTTTGTTCTGTAAACAAATCGTTATACTTTCAGATTCATCGGACCACATCTTCCATCCGATTCCTCCCAGGAGATCATCATCTTATTCTTCGCCGGATCGGAACAATAATCGCAGGCCGAACACTCGTGATCGTCATAACAGCGAAACGACTGTGAGTTTAAAGTTTACACGCCTCGAAATGTTTTACAAAACGACGAAATTTCAGCTCTCAATGGTTGTTCTTTTATTGTTAGTATCATAATTTCAGTGTGGCTACTGCAAACAACTCGGCAGGTCGGATTGGAACACCCATAACCGCTTCGACTGCAGACAGCTGCAGAGTCTGCCTCCTTGCCGGATTTGCGGAGCCAAAGACCAGGACAACCACACGGAGACGTGAGTTTTATAGTCTTTTTTTCATTAACATTATATTGATTTTTTTACGGTTAGGAGACTCAACTTTGTCTTAGGAAGAAAAAAAAACACCTAGAAATTACTTACCTAAACTAACGTAGACAAGTTTTAAGACCAGTGAAGAAAGGAAAGGACAAGAGCCCTCTGAAGGTTTAATCGAAATACTTTGTTACAGTTACTGCCCGGAACAGATCCCGACCGAGCTGGTCTTGAGAGAGGAATTCGCCAAACTCGGCTTGGACAAGCAGCGGAAGCGCGAAATTCGCGAGCAAATCTCGGAGATCAACCAGCAAATGTACGAAAAACTTGCCCAACGCTGGAAGCTACGCCTATAACCGTCTCCAATTCGACAATGAAACTGAATAATTTTTTTCTTTTGTTAGTCAATCTTTCGAAACTTTGCATTCCTACTTCATTTACAATAGCTTTCTAGATGGTTTTTAAGAGTTTCCTAATGCATTTTTTTCAAAAATTCCATCTTTCCAGCCCAAAACTTTCTACCTTTTTTTCATAGCTTATTCACAACAACTTTTTTTATCAAACTTATCAAAAAGCAAACAATTTTTCCCTTAATTTTTCAAGGTTCCCAAATGTCTTCCTTTCTAAAAAAACTGTTGTTAGTGAGCTATAAATTGAAAAATTGTTCCTTTTTTTCCATCGTTCACATTTACCTTTGTGAAAAAAATCATCTATCTTCTTCCAAATAATCTACGAGTTTTTCTCTACCGTGTTTTTTCCTTTCTGCCCGCCAACGTTTATCTATAGTATTTTGTTCCCGACCGCACATTGCCCAAAAATTTCAAAGTTTCCATCTGTTTTGTTCCAAATGTATATAATAAATATGTACATAGATTCAAAATGTCTCACCATACAAGGGCCCACGGTAGGGGCCTTTCAGAAGTTTATGCCGGAGCTCAGGGGCGACGGTGTCGTTCAGACCAGACGCGAGGAAGTGGAAGCGAAAAATGTTTCGTTTATGGATATATAATTTGAAGACGATACTTTTCAACTTCCGTATAACGATGTTCGAGAACGGCCAGATCCAAAAAATGCGTTGCGAAAAAAGTGAAGCACTGAAAATTTTCTAGATAGGGGCGAATTGAAGAAAGATTCTTTGAAGATCATATTTTAACGGCTATAAAAAAGATTGAAAAAAACCAAGTTGATAATAAAACCACCTTCAAAGCGATAATTTTCTCCGAAATGGCATAAGATATAGCGATTCCTTCTTCGGTGGAGGTGCCTGAAGCAAAAGAATAAGAGAATGTGGATGTCGATGAGGAGAGTTCAGACTTCTGGCAAGCTCGTCGAGAATGACGAGCGAACTCTCGTCGGCGTTGTGCATGATGCTGGCCGCGTCGCTCATCTCCATGGCGAATGCCGACTTGTTTCGGTGAATCGAGTCGTTGTGACCGATCCGCGAAAATATGCGCTTCAGGACTAAACAAAGAGAAAAGTTATTGCAGGTTCTTCATCTTTGCGATGACTAAGATGTTAAAATTCTGATTAAACAAAGTTTTCTAATTTTAAATTCTCCATTTTTAGGGTAAACATGAAGCGTCATGTTTCATATTTTTTAAAAAGTGCCATTATGCTTATTAAAAACTGTTCGATGGCCTAGAAGGGCATGATTTAAATACTACTTGTCGATTTATGAGAAATAAAAAGAAGATTCACTATTTATTACTCGCTGAAAATTGTTCTTGTTTGATTAATTTAAAAAAAAAGATGCACACCGAATCTCAATTTGAATTTTTCTTAAGAGCGCTTCGAACTTTTTTATATAGCTTCACGTACAGTACCGTCAGAAAAGATACGAAAAAATGCAAATTTTGTTCACAACTTTTTTGTGAGGAATTCCATCTCCCGGATAGTTTCTAAAGCTGCGATTTTCTTCCTGTGAACTGAAACTCCACCAGAGTTTTAAAAATATCAGTCATCAAAACTCGAAAGTTTCAGAAAGATTAAATTCCTTACAGAAGTTGTGAGCGAAACTCCGTTTTTTCCTATCTTTTTTGACGGTACTGTAGCTCAAACCTCTAACAGACTATTCATACCGCGAACTGCTTTCTAATTCAGTTGTATTCAATTTTCTAGATTAATCTCTCTGCCCCAGAAAGGACCTGGAAGGACAGCAGAGGCTGCGGGAATCGGACAACCACTCAGGCCCAGAATACAAAGTTGAGCCATTTGCTTCAGATACGTCGATTTTCCAGCCTCAAATCAAGTCAAAGTTTATATTCGGTAATCGACGGAATACCATATTCGGACCAGTAATGAGGGCGAACCGGCATTCTCGCGTCAGACACTGCAATTGTCTCTTTGGGTCGATTATCAGATCATTGAATAACCGCGTCGTTTGTGACGATGTTGCCTTGTTTTGCCCAATCCAAAGTCGGATGCCTTCCTTGGCTCACCGCGAAACAGTCTCCGAAGCGCGGTCGAACTGCAGTATGTGACGCTTTCAATACAGTTTTGTATGCAGGTGATTTCATTCTACGGTTTGAATTTCTCTACGAATTCGCTCAAATTTTCTGAATTTCCAGATGTAGACCTCACATAGTGTCTACCTGCGCTAACTTCTAGTTTTTGATTTATTAATTGTTTAAAGTTTGCGTTTAACACAGAAAAAGACCCTCACAAAGAGGTCATTTTACTTTGCGACTTGAAATTTTCTACAAATGTTTTCAAACAACCTCGGAAGAATTAAATGAAGATCCATTATAGTCCCAAACAACGCCAGCTTCTATTTTTTAAGGAAGTTCAAAAAGTTAGGCTGAAAACTCATATTTCGCAACTTTGAAAAATAATATCTCAAGAAGTTTGCGCAGGTAGCGTTTATGAGAGATTCAGAGTTTTAACGAATTTTTAGAAATTTTCATAGCGCAAAGTAAAACGACCTCCCTTTTCAAAGCCCAGGAAACTTTCATCCTGCACCCTCAAATTGAACAATACCAGCATTTCGGAGGTTGGCATATGTGGCGATACTGTAGAGAAAGTCAATGGTAGAGAGAGCGTCCATAGCGTAGTAAAGCACTGGCAGCAAGGGTCTTATCTGAAGATCGGACTTTTTTTTTTTTAATTATCGAGACCTTTCAAAAGCTCGAGTTCACCGCTATTTCGAAAAAAAAACTGTAGAAGCGTCTGAAACTCTTGTTGATTCACTACTTTGCTAATTTCGTACAGACCCTAACTAATTAGTTTTTTGAAATTAAGGTGAAAGCGTAATAAGCGTAATACGACTCGTCCTTCATAGAAACGAACAGACGTTCAAACTTTCATTACACGTCAAAAAGAAGAAAAAGAAGAAAACTGATAACTTCTCGAATTTTTGAATGTGGTTTTCAATTTTCGTCTTTTTTTAAACCTACTAACGTTCTCAAATCAAGAGACTGTTAATTTCGAAGCTTAAAAATAATTTGCTTTCAAAAACAAGGCCAATTTCAAAACGTCTTCCAGGTAGCTTTTTTATGAACATCAAAAATTTACTCAGAAAAAAATGAGCTTGCAATTTCCTACAAGACTTTACCTATAATAAAAAAACAATGATAATATTTTTAATTCCAAGACGCAAACTTGAAAAATTATTATGCCGTGTTAAAATTAATTTCAGCGATTTCAAAACTGACGCGTTATTCGTGAAAATGATTTCGGGAAAGGCAAAATTAGATTTCCGGAAGGGCGCAGAAAAATAAGCCTACAAAACTTTTAGGATCATTTAGTCCTTTTCTACAAAAAATTAAAATTCGCGTGTAAAAGTTACAGTTAAAATGCATATCTCCCAATATATCGTTGTAGAACTTTTTTCTTCTGCACCCTTCAAAAACTAGCATTATCAAATGAAAGCTTTGACGTAGAGAAAAAAAAAACAAACTATTTCGATAAGATCAAAAACGACGACGTCGCTGGCCAGCATAACTTCCGAAACAGCGCAAGTGATCCGATCTTTAAGTAAGAATTATTTCCAAGTGTTGCCTTTTCTCTATAACCATTCATGATAGTCAGGGCTCTCGAGGAGAAGGTGATGGAAGATCGGTGACGGATTACATCCGTGAAATACTGAAAAAGACACTTTTGATACAAAAATGCGGTTTAGAAACGAACAGGGGGCAATATGATGGAACTGATGTCCTTGTTGACCAAAGTGTAATGGAATCGTCGAACGTTTGAGTATGAAATCCGTGCCGTCGGCTGGTCCGGAAGGTAAATCTTCAGTTCTTCGGCTCAAACAATTTTTTAAAATTTTGACTAAAGAAAAATTTGATTGAAAAATAAAGGAGAAATTCATACTGGACGAGGTTTAATAGAAAACAAAATAATTTTTTTTTATTCGTAGTTTTTGAAAATTACGGAGACAGCGTGTTGTGTGTGAAAACTTACAAACTTCATCGACCTTGGCTATCAGCTCAGTGTAAGCCTTACGTGCCACATCCAAATTGACCGAGACGCCTTCCTTGAAAAAAAAAATTATAAAAATCTATTGAATCAAAAATGTCGTTTTGAACACTTGAAACGCTTCGAAAGAAAATTTTTGAAGGTATTTTTTTTTCATAAGAAAGGTGGGAGCTTTTTGAATCATGGCCAGAAAGGGAAAAAAGTGAGAAGTAAGTTAACGTAAATTTAAAGTCAATAAAAGCATGACTGGAAAAGAGATATCCCACCCAATACTCATGAAAAAGACAATCGGAAAGAAGATCAACGATTCAAAAAGTCCAATTTTCAAGTTTCAAGCATTTTAAGGCTTATTACAATTTCATACCCTAACAGCCAAGCACGTGAGGTTGCGAATAGCCAACGAGTTCTTTTTTCCAGAAATCTTTTTGAGTTCGATTCGCGTTTCCAGAATATTGAGCATCTTGATGAATCTCGGATCGCTCAGGTACTGAAACTCTTTCTCTTTTTTGTGAATTCCGTTCAACGAGCTTGCCTTGACTTTCGCTCTCAATATCACACACGTCACTTCTTTGATGTCCAGGACGTCGCGGATCGCGTCAAGCACTTGCAGCGTTTGAAACAGTTTGATGATCTGGTATTTTTAATTATACAGAAAATATAGCATAACAGTTTCAGGTTTCAAACTCTTGTTTCTTAGAAACTAGAAAATTTTGGAGTTCGATACTTTTTGGATATTCATTTGGTACTTCAAAAATTGTTCTGGCAAATCACGATTCCAAAAAAAGAATCAGTTCCTGGGAAAATTTTCAGTAGCCATTTTAGGGTTTTGACGTTTTATTGGTCACTATAATAGTCTAATTAGTGGCCATTTAAGGAATTCAAAAGAAGTTGTCCCTATAGAGGTCTAAGTGCTACTACTAGACCACTAAAAATTTTAGTGGCCACTTTAGGGGTCAATGGATCACCATAACTGGTCCAATCTGTTTTTTTTTTAATTATCAGAGTTACTAGAAGGAATGCTGGGTGAAAGGGATACTGGATGAAAAACTACTGATGTGGCCGCTGAATATAAAACCTCTAGTGGCCACTAAAAAGGAAAGTAAAGGCCACATTAGAGGTGGGTTTAGTGGCCACTTTAGTGTCCTCTCCAAGTAGTCCTTGGCGAGCCTCTATAGTCACCCCTAAAAATTTTCCCAGTCAAAGCTTCGCCAGCCGACCTGATTGACGTTGGCTTCGGAACTTTGGACGGTCCACGAGGAGGACGACTGAATGCACATGGCCATGATCGTATCGAGCTCATGGGCTCTGGAGAGCAGCAGTCGCAGTTTTTCCAGCACCTTACACATTTCTTCGAATGGTTATTTTTTTTTTTTTTTTTTTTTTTGGCCAACCTGAGGCATAGATCGAAGTTGTTCAACGGCGTCAAGCCTGTCTTCAATTAACTGAACGTCTGCCGATGGCTGCAGTAGATTGGAACGAAGAAGTCGAGCTCCGTTCACCTAAGAACCGACAATATGATATATAACTTTTCAAAAGTTAAAAAAGAACACAAAAGCTTATTTTATTCAAACCGTAAGCGTGTGGTTGATGACGGAAAGCAGACTTCGGCGCTCTTTTCGGCCAGTTCGTCTCTAAAAGTAAACCAGTTTTTTTCCGCATTCTTGAAAGTTTGTCCAAGATTTTTTAAACTCCAAAAATTTGTTTTTCGAATTGAAACAAATGCCGAGAAAAAACCAATGTTCTTTTAAAAATTTACCGCAGGCTGTTGCGAGTCGAGTAGCTCCAAACTGTCCCAAGAAGCGAAGTCTTAAAAGGAAAAGTTGAGCAAAAAGATTCGATTCGAGACCGATCATGCAGGTATTTTCAATTGGAATATCTCGAATACGCAGGGATTCTTTCAGAAAGTGCACTACTCGCGTTTCCTGCACGTACTTGGTCAGCGTGCTGAATGCAGCCATCGCAAGTGACCTGAAACTTCCAACAAAACATCTTCCATCACAATTGCAAAGAAAACTTTTCTAAAGAACTTTCATCGAAACTTGAAACTTCTTTATTCGCCAATAATTGTGCCATCTCAACTCCTCGTCGGCTATTGAAATGTCTCAAAAATTCAAGCCTAACATTTTTTCTAATATAGGAAGAACCTCATATGAATCACAGTGATTTTGAGATCCGGAAAAGCGGCGGTCAGCGCTTCGCCCAGAAGCTTTGTCGACCCTTTTTCTTCGATTACTTGAGGGATAACGACCTTTAACATGTTAACATTCGATTGAATCTCACTGTCTCTCTTATTCAAAGAAGACAGGAATTTTTCTGATCTCTACTTCAGCGTTAAAAGTGATTACGCGAAATTTAAAATAGCCGTTAGAGAAAGGAAAAGATAAATAATTTTGCATTTGGCGGAAATAACTTTGAACACGGCATTCATCTTGATAGAAACTTCAATGTTGGCCAGTAGGACCCGTTGGGCTAATACGTCATAATTTTGCAAAACGGGCACTACTACCCGGTGTTGTTTAACGTGCCGGGTGATACCCTGGGCCTAAACGGAGGCTCGGCACGTGAATTGGGCGTTTGCGTAGTTCTGCCGAACTTAAAAGGGTCTATGCGCGACTTAAAATTTCGTTTGGGGTGATCGGCGGTAGCATCCGCGGGTGCTACTGGCCAAAATGAGAGCATCTAACTTTCTAAGACTGAGAGATCATCAAGACTTTCAAAAAAAGGAAAAAAAACCTCATAAGCGTCGGCTACTTGGATCATGGTCTTGAGGCGAGAATACTCGCGGGAGTCGACAAACTCGCAAAATTCGATCTCAGGATAGCGTACATCCTGTTGCGCCAAACCGAGACGACCATCAAGATTTCCACGTCCCTCCATGACTGCTGAAAAAATGAAGATTATTCCTAACAGTGTTTCTAATCGAAAGATAAACTTTTAAATATGTTAAAAAGAATCGAATGAAGTTCAAACCGATGATAGTGCTGCCATTTCGCGTCGAAGTGTTCATGGTATTGGAAGACGTGTTGCGGAGCATCGACTTTTCGCGCGAGTCCAAGTAGTTCGACCTATCCTCTACAGACATCTCTGTAGCCAAATATAAAGTTTCAACTTGCGGACTTGTAAAATATCTTTTTCGTTAATTGAAAAAGTTCTCCAAACGAGTTATTGAGGTGTTCAAAATGACTCCGCAAAATTCAAAATAGCCGTCAGAGAAAGAAAAATATAACTAAACTGTGTAGAGCCAGAGACCGTTCTGCATTTCGCGGAAATTTTTTTAACACGACATAAGTTCTCAGTTTTGCTTTCTTTCAAGTTTCTTTTGACGTTTTCTTACAAAGGCAAAGTCGGAAGGGTCCATAGAAATGTTCCTTTTAGGGTAAGGTTTTTTTTTCTCTTGTCTTTTTGCGCCATTTTTGCCGCCTCTCTTTTTCCAACAATTCCTGTGCCTCTAAAACTGTAGAAAAAATTAAAATACCAAAAATTAAGTTTTGAAAAAGAGCTGAACTTTCGAACGAAAATTTCCCATTATGAAAAAAAATTCACAGGCATCGTTCTAACCTTTCGAGCTTTTGAGACCAATTTACCAAAAGAAAAAGCTACTGGTGTTTTGCAGAAAAAAAACCGAAACTAATTGCAATTCTGAAAGCCTGTACATAGCTGGTAACACCACAAAAAAATTTGAATGTAAATTAAGAATCACTCACCTGAACTTTCTGAATTAAGGGGAAGGCAAGGTGGAGAAAACCGCCGCTGACGAATTGGTCTTTTTGAAGTCATTCCCTCAAACATTTTTTTTTAATTTTCCTTCCAACAAGTATTCATGCATCATGATTTTAACTATCAGGTTAACTCGAATGATTATTTTTGCGGGAGTATAAATTGAAAAAAATCTTAATGGAAGTTTGATGAAAAAAACTTGACATATTTACGTTCAAAAAAATCACAATTAAAAAAATCTGTAACCGATTTTTAACGGAAATATGGATGATAACAAGAAGAAAAATTCAAATAGAAAAAAAATAATAATTTCTACTGCCTGATTTTTGAAGGAGCATTGGGCGATTTGAAAATGCGCTTCGAAACGAAGAGCGAAACTCTTTTAATTTTTGTTTTTCGTTTGATTGTTTGTTTTTCTTTTTTTAATATATGATTCAAATTTAAGTTGCGTGGATTTTAAAAAAAGTACTATAAAATTGAAGGCACTTGGTATTTTTTTAAGTAATTAAATCACAATTTTTTTACGTGATGGCTCTCCCTATATATATTAAATTATACATAGAGAAAGTCGTAGCACATTTAAAAAAAATACGTTTTGCTGAGTTCTCACTGAGTATTAATGCTTCGGTTACATAAAAAGAAACAAGATAATATCCATATTTATTACAGATTCACATGGTAAACAAGTTTTGGTCCGGATTTATCGAGTTTGGCGTGGAGGATCGGCGGCAAAAGATAAGACACCCCATTCTAAAATCAGTTTTTCACAATTTTCGCCATTCTCGAAAAAGGGATAACTCACATTTCAACCAATTTCTTGCGGTAGAGATCCCACCAGATTAAATAAACTAAAAAGGTCGACGCGCAGTTGAACATCAACGCGAAGTTTATGACATTATTCACATATCGTTTGTATGCGGGATGAATAAACTGAAAATTTAGATTTTTATCAATTAGATGATTTTTTTTTTCTGGTGAAACATCAATATCAGAATGAAGAGGGTCGAGAAAATGCGACAATTGCAGATGACCCCACAGGATCAGATATTTCATGACGACGATGCACATCACCAAGGTCTTACGGTGCTCGGCGGAAGCCTCAATTCTCATTCTATAATAATTTTTCATGGAAAAAAAAAACCTGGTAAGAGTCTTCGATAGATTCCGCTTTATACATCAAGCCCTTGATCAATTTTGGCAGCGTGGCTACGATGAGAAGAGTCGGAATGCAGAACTGCAGCGTAATAGAAACCCACATAGAGAAGGTTCGCCTCAAGTTGAGCAAAAATGTTTCAAAATTAAATTCTGCATTGAAAACATGTTTTTCTTTTTACTGAATACCCTGTGAAAATAAAGGCGAATAAATTAATGACGGATTCAGGAAAAAAAAAACTAAAAACGTCTCGAAATCAATTTACACTTTTAGAATTTTTCGATAAATTTTCTATGCGAATGGGCTGACTGAAAATTTTTGAAATTTATCCTTTCTCTATTGATTTTCATCATTAAACAAACCCATTGTCGGAATCGTACGGCGTGTGCCAGAAAATCGAGACACCCATCATGGTAATCGTAAAGATGAAGATATTTTTCCTGGTGCACCAGACTTTTGCCTAGAAGAAAGATCCGAAAAACTAGAGTTAGATATTGATTACCAAGTCTGGTCGGAAAGTCACAATCCAGCGTTCGACACAAATCATAGACATCAAGAAAAACAAGCCGCTGACGACGTAAAGAATCGCACCGGTTAGGAATTCACTGAGGAAATCAAAATTTATGAGATTGAAAGTTTTTTTTTGTTGTCAAGTCATTGAATTTGTATGTTTTGTGACTTACATATAATAAGTGAAGGCTCTAGTCACAACCCAGAGAATTTCGAAAATTGATAGGGAAATTCGTAGAGGTGTGTCCTGAAAAGTCATTCTGAAATAAATATTCATCTAGCTGATAACAGTTTTTTTTTGAAAAAGAAAAAAAAAACCAACCGGCATCTTTCTCATTTCCTCGGTCATCATCACAGTAATCGTCACCAAGTTGGTCAGAAGACCAATTAAGGCGGATATTTCGTGTAAAATAAAGAAGAACAACGAGAACATTTTGCGGAGTCGATGGTTCGAATGGAATGTTTAGGAAATTGAGGCGAGAAAATTGGTAAAAAAAAAAAGTTTGCCGTAAACTATGGATATCATTTCGCTGCGAGAGAACTCATAGTTTATTTTGGAAAAGTTTATTACCCATGAAATATAAATGAAATATTGTATGTATACATTTGAACTACTGAGCCATGGAGCCCACGCCACAGTTTTTCGGCCCGTTTTTGGCCTTTGCCAGGATTTCTGGAGCGATTTTCAATGATTTCGGCTGCTCCCACGGGAATTTCTTGTGGCCAAAGTGACCATTTTCGGCCGTTTGCTCGTAGATTGGTCGTTTCAGGTCGAGCTCCCTCAATTTGAAAGTTTAATTTCGAGGTTATGAAAGTAACTTTTTTAAAAAAACTTGCAAGTTACAACCTTTTTTTCATAGAAAAAAATTGTGAGAAAAATTAAAATTCCTTCAAAAATTTGTGAAAGGTCAAATTCGAGTGTTTTTTTCTGAATTTCTTTTCTCAACCATACATTTCCGAAAAGAAAAATTATTTTTTTCAAGTTATTTCTGACCAGCTAGTCTCAACTCTTCTTCTCAACTCACTTGATGATCTTGCCGGGACGGAGATCGAAGTTGTCGTTGACGATCTGGAGAAGCTCCTGTTCGTTGAGAGAAGACGTGCCGAAGGAGAAGACAAGGATGGACAGAGGCCGAGAGACGCCGATCGCGTAGGCGACTTGGACGAGGCACCGACGACAGATCCCGGCCTTGACCAGGGACTTGGCGACCCATCTGGCGGCGTAGGCTGCAGATCGGTCCACCTTGGTCGGGTCCTTTCCGGAGAAGGCGCCGCCGCCGTGGGCTCCCCAGCCGCCGTACGTGTCGACGATGATCTTCCTGCCGGTCAAGCCGGCGTCGCCCATCGGACCGCCGACGATGAAAGATCCGCAGGGGTTGAGGTGGTAGACGGTGTTGGCGTCGAGGAGATTCGCCGGGACGACCGCCTTGACAACCTTCTCGACGAGGTCCTTCCGCACGTCTTCCAGGGTGACGTCGGGCGAGTGCTGCGTCGAGATGACGATCGTGTGGACGCGTTTCGGAACACACGCGCCGTTCTCGAACTTGTACTCCACCGTCACCTGAAAATAATCATGCGTATATTTTCGATCAAGGTATTTCGATCATTTATTTGCTCTCTGATCGTCAATAGACGTTCTAGAGCCAAGCTAGAAAAGGATTATATTTAGTTTTATCACATATTCAGAAGCGCACCAGCTCATCTAAAGATGAGATGGCTTCATTTTCATAATTTCGGCTTCAAGAATAGTGCTTACCTGAGTCTTGGAGTCGGGGCGAGCCCATGCGAGCTTGCCATTCCTGCGGAGCTCGTGCAGCTTGGCGTTGAGTTGATGGGAGATTTGCAGGGTCAGAGGAATCGCCTCCTCGGTCTCGTCGGTCGCGTAGCCGAACATCAGACCCTGGTCTCCGGCCCCGACGTCGTCGTCCGACTTCTGCTCGTGGACTCCGGCCGCGATTTCAGGCGACTGCTGTTCCAGCGACACCATCACACTGCACGTCTTGTAGTCGAATCCTGCAGACTTTCTTTAGTTATGACGTGGTTTGGTTGGTAAGGCTTTTTCAACGTCCAAAGTTCTGATTTGAACCCTCCAGAATTTTTTGAAGTCAAACCTTATATTGGCAAGTCATTTCAAGGTTTGCGTTAACGTACATCCTCGATTGGTAAGACTCATACCTAACTTCTGACACGTGTGAGAGGTCGCTGGTTCAACTCTTTCTAAGGTTTATGCGGTAGATATTGTGCAAGGTTAACATTTCTATAAATATTTATCTATATCGAACGTGGCTCAGCTGGGAAGAATCTTCCCTAACGTCTTTAAGGACACTGGTTCAAACTTATTTGTTAATTTCGAAGCGAATAAAAATTACCTCTCAACAAGTAATAATTCATTGACTTCATGGCTCAACTTCAGACCCTTTCCCTATGAGCTGCAAGGTCCCTGGTTCTAGTCTTCCTAAGTCTCCTATCCCTTTATTTTCCATCCTAGACTTTGTTTGAACTTATGACTGGAGCAAAACAAAAAAAAAAACATTCTTTCGAGATTGCATCAGATTTCCTCATGTTAGGCCAGAGACATTTGTGTGCTCAGATGGGAAAAAATATCTTTTTTTTTTGTTTGCCGTTCGTTTCTATGGAAAAAAAAGCATTCCCATCCGTTTTTTCTTCTCTCTGTTTGAACTTATGATCCGAAAAAAAGGACTTTCAAAAGTTTCTTCAGATCGACTAGTTCTGAGCGAAACAGGAAAAACTATCGTTTTTTTCGTGGGAAAGAAAATGTTCCGAAATGGTTGCAAGAAGTTTTTTGAGCTTCTTGCAACCATTTCGGAACATTTTTCGGCACATTTTGAGCATTATTCATTCCTTTAAGCCTTTAGAAGACCATTTTTTGAGAAATTCTGAACCGTTTCTTAGCTCTCTACGAGTAATTTCTGCTGTTGCGAGGTCTTCTCTCGAATAAAGTTCTAAAATTTCCTTTCAGAAGACCTCCAGAAAACTGTTCCCAATCTCCCTTCCCTTCCGAAAAATTCCTCACCTTTGCTCGAATCGTCGTATCCAATTTTCTTGACGACGTTCCGGACGACAGTTTGATAGTCGACGTTGGCTCTCGAGTTGATTTCTCCGAAGAGCATGATCATTCCCGTCTTGGTGGCCGTTTCTGAAGAATGAAATTCGTTTTTCCTTTTCGGAATTCCTGAATTACCACAAGCGACTTTGGCATGAGGATCTTGGGCAATGAAGGCGTCGAGAATCGCGTCGGAGATCTTTAAATCGGAATTCAATGGTTTTCCAGGTTTTTTTCAATCAAATTTCATGTAATGTGTAGTGAAACTGTCCATTTTGAGGTGGAAAACTTCAAAGTTCACTGTTTATTCAAGTGAGATCATCCTACATCTCTCAGTATTAGATCAAGTTCGAATGAAGTTTCTTATCATCAGAATTAAGGTCTGATGTCCATTAAAAACAATTATGTACCGGAAGACCTGAATTTTCCGAAGCAACGATGGAAAAACGAACCTGATCGCACATCTTATCCGGATGTCCCTCCGAAACGGACTCTGAGGTGAACAGGAACGTACTGTTGTCGTTGGAGAGCATTTCTGAAGGCTCCATGGCTCGATTCCGATTCGAAGAAAAGCACAAAAGTGAATGGAACGGGAAGAATTGAAACGGGAAGGAGGCGGAACAGAACTACTACGCGTAGCTATAGATTTTTTTGCTCTCGATCTACGCTGGGAACGAGAGAGCGCCAGAGAAACTGAGCTGTTCACTTTCGTGGGTAAAAGCAGGTGGTCAGAGATATTTATTCTGACCGAGCGCATCTTATTGCTCCGGTCACTGCGAAAATCCAAAGAACGGCCACTTTTCAAGCTTTTGGCAGTGAGCCAGGCAAGTGAAAGACCAAAAAATGGATTTAATTTGAAGCAAAAAGAAATTTACGGACCTTGCAGCAACATCTCAATAGAAAAACCATATCTTTTGAAAATTCTATGCTACTCGACATTGAAAAGCAACTAGACTTAAAAATTTACAAAAGAAGCAGGTGGAATTTTTAATACTATAGGAAAATGTGTACTCTCAAAAAAGCCTTCGCAAGTTCTTGGCTTTTTCATAAAATCTCTTAGGAAGTCTCGTAGCTCGAAATTGAAGCGAATAAATTTTCTGCGGATCTTCTATGAGGAGTAAACTTCAAAAGACAGCGCTGAATGACGAATTTTCCGTAGAAGCGTGATATGAGTAGAAATTGCAGACTTTCTACAGCTATAGGCCCAAAGGTTGCTTTTGTTTCTGAGTTTCAAGACAAGAATTTTTTGCCTAAAGTTGAGCTTTTCACGAAAAAGGTGAGCTAAATGAAAATAAAAAAGTCTTGAGACGAGTAAAAAGCCCGAGAAAAAGCCAAGATAGCACTGCCGATTGGCCTGTCTTGGGACCTCCTCGGGGTCTGTATTTATACGAGTTCCAGCCCCGTTTGCTTCCTTTCCGTCAACAAAAAGTCGAAAGGCTACTATCAGCAAAGGTTATTGCGATCTCTCCAAACGAAAACAGGAAGGAATGACTTATTTTTGTAGTTCGATCTTTCGAAATCGCCCTTTTCTTTATTTCTCTCTTTTTTGAGGATTGCGAAAGGAAGGAAAACCTGATTGACCTGAATCAGGTTCCAAGAAGTTGAAACAAGAGAGAAAGAGAGCGGAAGAAACCGCACGGACTTATTTCGGTTACACGGGAAGCTCCGCCCACTCGAGTATTGTAATCTTCTTCCTTTCCTTAAACCGCCTAATTTCTTTCTTTCAAGTAGGAAGGAATTATGGGCTTACTTTTGATCGAAAGTTCTGTCAACTCCTCCTAGAAAACTTAAGTTCCGTGATATTTTGTCATGGATTCTTGGCGGTTTATTAAAATGTATGAGCTTGAAAGAAAAGCTTCAAAAATTTATTTATTTATTTTTTTCATTCATATTTGGAATTTAAAATTTTTCTATAATTTTTTTACAGCCAACTATATCTCATAACACTTTAATGAAGATTGAAATTCCCTGCAAATCCAAAGCTCGCGCGATTTCTTCAAAATCTTCAAATACCGTTTCGACACTTCAAAGCTTATCATTTTCCAACAAGGAACAATTTTTTGCTATCATTTTATTCTAGTCCTTCTCAGACAAACAAAATCATAGAAAATAACCAAAAGATGACTCAAATTTGTTTGCCGTGACTTCGCCCTTTTTTTTGAAGAGATCGTTATCGACCAAATTTCACGTGGGTTTGAAACGATCTTTGGTTTTCAAAAAAAAAAAATCGAATTGATTGTTTTAGCATAAAGTCTGTGACCACCATAGTTTCTTCTTCAAGTGATCATTTTAAGGATGAAATCAAAGTATCCAAGTGTTCCAAAAAACGAGGACAGAAAAATTTTTTGAGAGATTCTGATTATTTTTGACCTCCTTCCTACAACTCGGCCGATTAATGTTCGGAAAAGGGAAAGATTATTGGATTTATACTGGAAAAATCGTTTAATTCTATGCTTGGAGATCTTTTTCAAGTATTTTCATTATGCAGTGATGTATTCGGGAAGAAAGGAACGTCTTATCAATCGAATTGAGAAGGTTCAGACAAAGAGAAAAAAAAGAAGAGCGGAAGGCTTAACGTTGAAAAACCACGTGGTCAAGCTCAAATACAAGGTTCATGAAATTCTTTTTTTATATCGAATAAAAAAATTTTTTTCTTTGATTTTATTGAAATCAACAAAAAAAGTGGATTTAAAAATTTGGAAATTTGACGTTTTTCGCTCTTTTTGGTGAATTTTGGTTCAATTGAGCAACGTTCGTAGCTCAAAAAAGAGAATTAATAGATTTCTTGCCATTTTAACCAACAATGAAAATTGAATTTTGAAAATAATTTGTTCGGCTAATTCAACCCATCTTTGAATTACCTATAATCGAGATTTCCAGAGCGATCCCCACACAGATTTTCAAATTTTTGCGATCGCTCCATACTCCTGTCTGAAAAAAGTATTCGAAATATTGAAACTCGAACGGATTACCAAATATAAATTACATAGGACACTCCACGGCGTCGTTTCATATCATCACTAGTAATGATGCATAATGAAAAATACGAGTCGCATTCTGAAAGTCGTTTTGTGAAAATATTTCGGTTTTTCTTTTAAGGAACTTACTCTTTCACCGAAGATGACTGCATCCAAGCGGAGACTCTGTGGAAAATTACTGAAGAAACTCGGAAATGTGTCCTGAAGGTGTGAAATGAAAGCAACGAAACTTGGTGTTTCAAAAAACTTGAATTCAAAAATAAAAACGTATAAACAAAAAATATAGACAGGGTCTTCATGATTTTTAAAAGCCTAATCCACCATATCCAGAGAAAAGTGGGTTCAAAAATCAGAAAAAAAAAACGCAAAGAATCGAATGACAAGACAAAATTAAACTCAATTTGGATTTCTGAAATTAAAGTAGAACCTCATTTATATTTATCAAAATAAAATAAAACAAGCTACCAAACTGCTTTAAATTCATAAATTTAAAGGAAAAAAGGCATTGGCGATCGCGAGAATTAAACGATTTTTCAATTTGAAATCACTAAAGAGCTCTCTAGAGAGCTCTCAAAGAGCTAACTTTCCGGGAGAGAGAATAATTCAAAAGCTTCTATTGAAATTAATTTGCAGATCGGTATCTGTCAAATTTGAAGTTTTTTTTATTTTTACTGCGGGTTTTTTTTTTTGAAGGATGCGTGAATGTTCGAAATGTCAAGGATATAGCTATCTGTTCAGATTTTTAATGTCAAGTGCAATGACGTCATTCAAAAACACTCTGTGGATGGCTCGCTCTCTGATTGGTTTGTCGCGCCATTATGGGCGGAGCTTGAGCACCGACTTGACATTTAAAATCTGAACAGACTATATGAACGAAAAAAATGTTTTAATGTTATTTTTCCTCGGTGCTTCTTTTATTTCAAAAAGCAAAGCCTTTAAATTTTTTTCAGGATTTTTTTCAGGAAAAAAAATGTTCATAATTTTTTAAAGTTGAGTAATTGGTTCAAATATATGATTTCTTGATTTTTCATTAGTAATTTTTTTAAATTTTTCCCGATGTTTACTTCAATCTGAGGTAGGTTAAAGCTTTGAATCGCGTGTTTAAACCAATTTTCTTCGAGATTAAATTCCAATAAAAAACTAGATTTAACAAGAACTAGAACCAGAACACAGACTGCTTGAAAATTAGTGCGAACGTATTAGGTTACACGGCGTTGTTATTAGTTGATCGACAACGCATTTTTCTTCACTTTTCTTGTCTCAATAGAATTTCTTTTCAGGAAAGACTCTGGGCGGAGTCGAGCGATAACATATGAAAGCAAAAAAAGAAAAGAGAAAATTCTGAGCTAATCCGCCTGGGAAAGGATATTCGAATGTTGAGGCTCAGCAACCTGACCACCGAATGAACGTCAGATTTTTGTGAGTTTTTTTGTTCTTTTTGAATAGATACAAATGGAGAGTATAGTTCAAATGTGATAAATCGAAAAAAAGCTTTAGGCGTAAAAATAATAATTTTTTCTCAAGCTTTCCCAGCAAATTCTATCCATCGTAACGACTAATTTTTTGGGAAACACTTGTTTTTCGGCCATTAAGGCGTTTTACAAAAAATTAATAACTTAGAGAGTATCGACATAAAAACTAGAATCTTTCATTTAATACTGTATATAATGGAATTTGACAGGAGAAAGCTCGAAATTCAGGTATCAAGTCATGATTTTCAAAATTCAATTTATCCTCTATCGAGTAAAAAACGAATAAAAATAATTTTTTCGAAAAATTTGAGTCAAATATCTCAGTTTTCCATCATTTTCAAAGCTCCAGTTGAATCCAAGATGTTCTTTTTCTTTCTTTTTCGTATCAGACAGGCTTAGGATTTTCGAAAGATTGTACACATACATAGGTCACATGGAACGGCTGTGAAATTTACATTTTATATTGGATTCGTTCATTTCACGCTAAGAAAGATCGAATGTTCGAGAAATTGCTCTCGAAAGGATCATCGAAAGAGACAAAAAAAACTTTTACAGTAGTCAAAGTGTTTTTATTGGCAACTTGGAGGTGAATAGATTATACTAAATCACACCCACAAAACTTAATTTATCAGTTTTTTATTTGTCAAAAAGTGTGATAAATCAGAACTTATTCAATTTATAAGTTGGGTTGAATCGAATTGAAAAGAAAAAAAGTTAATCCCTTCAAGGCGATAAATGTTCTACGTAAATGTCCATCTGCATACAACTTCCTCAAAAGAAGCCATTTTTTATCTCTATTGTTCAGAAAGCATGGGAAAATAAAAGAATGTTTTATGGACGATGAATCATATGTTGGGATGGGTAAAAAGTAAAGGGAATATTCTCTAGTTTGAACTTTAAAATTCATTGAGATGAAGGGAAAAGGCAAAATTTTAACGGCTTGAATTGAAAGATTTACATGAGAATTTCGAAAAAAAACTAGTTTTCTTGAAAACTTTCTTGATTTTTCGAATATTTGAACGCTTTTTTAGGATGTAATTTTTTAAAAAGATAATTAAGGTTGCGAAAATGTTCTGCCTCTTAAACTACTTACTGTTTAATGTTAGTTTGTCAAAAACTTCAAAGGATCGCTGATTTTTATTTTAACGAAATGGTCCTGGAACGATGAGAAAAATAGTGCGCAAAAGTAGGAGATTTTTAAAGAAACTTACGAGCTTATTGCGTGGCAAGCTAGCAGTATTAGAATTTTTTAAATTCCTTTTCGTTTTGATTCTTCCTTTTTTTCTCGCTCTCATTTTTCATTTTTCAAAATGTTATCTTTTATCGACATCTCTGCAAAAGTAGGAAAAAAGAAAACCTTGAAGAATCGCCAGATTTGACCTTCAGCCAAGGACGCTTGCAAAGAACAACGTTCACATTTTCTTTTGTTGAGAGAAGAATTTCCCTTTTTTGCAAAAGGTCAAAAGTGAAGGATAAATAAGGCTTTGTACTATTTATAAAAGGATAAGAAGGTCCCGAGGTTCTTCCTTTTGCTGGAAGTAAGCGCGTGTCTTCATGTTTCAGCTTTTTTAGACATCAAAAATGTCTCGAGTTCTGAAATGTTATTTCTATAAAGGAAGAAAAGAAACGTTAATTTCTTTTATAACTTCACGTACTCCAGGAAAGGTTGAGTTTCTCTGAAGCTTTATAAATCCATAATCTTTTGATAAATGTTAAGTGAGGAATGCGACTTTTTAAAAAACAACTTTCCTTGATTTCTTATTATCTTTTCGATCAAATTCATGTTCTAGTTCTGTAAAAAAATTTGTTTTGAATTCAAATTTCTCTGTGTAAAAAAAGGTCCAAACTTCATCTTCTGACCTTACGCGAATTTTTGTAGGAATCGTGGTACTTTTTGTCTTCAAAAGCCATTCTCTTCTTGCGCATCTAACCTTCGAGTTTCACTGCTGCTGAAGTTTACTGTTTCAAATCTCTCCTTCTTTAAAAAGAGTTGTATTTCTGTTCCAACGATAGACTTCAACCATCATTTTCTCTGAGAAACCACAACCTACGATATCAAAATCGAAATAGCCATTCTCTTTTTGCGTATCTAACCTCAGAGTTCCAATTTTAGCCTCATCTCGTGACGTTGACCCTTTCAACTTTCGCCTTCTCTGAAAAACGGAAGATAATTTCTTTCATTGTTGTCGCCCTTCTGCTTGGTTGTAACACCGTCGCTGGCCAACCGAAACAGTGAAATAGTATAGGAGTAACAATTCTAGAGAGAAGAAATTCGTCTGCCATTGTGTCGGATGCCGTCCATTGTTCCAATAAACTGCTTGGTTTTCGTCCTCCCCTTTTTTCGGCATATTGTCCACTCTACGAACCGCAAAACGTCGTTCGAGCACTTTCCCTTTTTCTTCTTCCTTCTTGCTTTCTTTGGAACATTTCCGCCTTGTTGGACAGGCTCTTTGTTTTTGGTCAGAGTGCTTCTGGAGGCTCAATCGCTCGGAAACTTTCTCTTCAGGTCATTCTGCTTTTTTTTTCTTTTTTGAGTGGGAGAAGAACTGAGATATCTTCTAAAGTGACTATTTTTCTCGAAATTTAATGTTTTTTTCAAATTCTGAAGGCTTTTTCCTATGGAAAGGTTGTCATCATACTGTAAAATCTAATAGTGGAACAGAATTTTAAAAAAATTTCAAGTGAAAATCCCAAAATCGCGATACGATTCCAAAAAATGATGCTTTTCTAGAGTTGGAAAATAGCCGTAGTGGGACCGAGAAAGTTAGAGAATTTTTCGATTTTCAAGGATCATCCAGGCTTCTACTAGCCACGACGCGACTGCAGCGCGGCTCAAAACATCGAAACTTTGATAAGAGTTTCTAGATCTTCAGTTTTCATTGGAACCGCGACGCGACCGCAACGCATCTATGAGATGAGAGCAATATCAATTTTTGAAACCCCTCTAACTTCTTCCATCTCAACACCAGCTGTAACGGAGTAAATAGAGACTGGCAAAAGAATTATAAAAAATATGAGAGCACCGGAAACGAAGTTTAAATCGACCGTGACGCGACCGCAACGCATCCCCCCTCGAGATCGTCCCATCACTATCATTTGACGGGAACGACCTCAAAGTTCAAGTATCTCCTACCTTCCTACCATCTTGACACGAACCGAAACTTGAAGCAAATAGAGAATGGCAAAAAAAAGAAGGAGAAGAAAAAGATAACTGCCACTATCAATCACCATCTTCTCAACATGTTGAGAGAGTAATTAGGTTGAGTGTGCCGGAACTTCTCTGCTTTTTTTTTCCAGGGAATGCAACTCTCAGGCAAATCCAATAAAAGTAGCCGGTTGAAACGTGTTCTCTTTCGAGCTTTTCACAAGTTTTTCAACGTTTTCTGTTCTTTGGGTTCAAGAAATTGTGAAAAATACGGGTTGAACTACAAAATTCTTGTCATTTTGTAGTAGTGACGGCGATTTGGTTGTTCTGAAATCAGATTTTGTTTTTATTTGCGTCAATCCAAGGTTTATAAGCCTTTCCTTGGCTCCCTGAAACCGTGATTTTCATTTTCATTTTGACTTTCTTCATGTCGATCCCTTGTTTTTCGACGCAGCAAAAAAAAAATCGCGGCTAATTTTTTTGATTTTTCTAACCGTTTTTCGAGCAAGTTGATGTGATATGCTATTCACCGCTA